TAATGTCATGGTTATTGTTTTGTCTGTAGTAACTACTCTAGTGGGACTCTTGTAATATTGCCTCTTCCCAAGTGTTTTCATCTTATCTATCTATCTGTCTGTCTATCTTTCTATTAATTAAAAGCGTCTCTAACTTGTCTCCTACAAACATCTTGGGACAGCTTCCAATAAGGGGTTTTACAAAGTAATAATGGCAGAGTATGTTCTAGCAGTAGAAAGACTCTCCTTTCCCATATTGCCTTGGCCAGCGTTGTTCCATGTCATTGCCCTAAAGCACTTATCCTCACAACACGAGCTCTGCAAAGTAGGTTAGGCTGAGAGTCCGTGACTGACTCAATCACCCAGTAAACTTCATGGTCAATGTGCTCTCATCTTGCAGTGTGCTCTCCTATTTTTCTGTGTCTTAAAATATGCCTTATTCTCATTAATTTTACCATGTTGAAACATGTAAATCACTATTCTAGTGGATGTGCCTCTTCTACACTTGTAACATTTAAGCATGTGCAGTGCAGGACCCATTATGGTATAAAGGGAGAGAAGAGCTTTGAAAATTAAAACTGTTATTAGGTACATAAGAACATAAGAAAAGGCACGCTGGGTCAGACCAATGATCCATCTAGTTAACTACTCTATTTACACAGTGACAGAGCGGTTGTACACAGGGTTTATCAAGCAGGATAAGTACAAGAACTCAGCCCACCCAGGCTCCTCCGCAAGTGGTGTATGCAGGCATGCCACCTCTGCTAAAGGAAGTAGTACATAGCTAGCAAGGCTAGGAGCCATTGATAGTCTCCTCTTCCATGAATTTGCCCAATCACCTTTAAAGCCATCCAAATTGGTAGCTATCACTACTTCCCATGGCAGACATTTCCGTATTTTAATGATATTTGGTATGCGAAGTACTTCCTTTTATGTATCCTAAACCTCCAACAAGTCAGCTTCATGGGATGGCTCCAGGTTCTGGGAGAGGGAGAAAAATGTCTCCTTCTCTACTTTCTCCACACCCTGCATTATTTCAATCACATGTATCATATCTCCCCTTATTCACCTTTTTAAAAAAATCTAAACAGTCCTAGTTGCTGTAACAACCCTTCATAGGAGAATTACAGCAGCCCCTGATCATTTTCATTTTCCTTCTCTGTGCGTTTTCCAACCTAATAATGTCCTTTTTCAGGTAAGGCAGGCAGAACGGTACACAATATTGTAAGTGTGGTCACACCAAAAATCTGCATAAGGGGATAACGATCTTGGCAGTTTTATGTTATATTACATCCCTAATTATGCCTAATATGGAGTGTTATCTTTCTCACAGAAGCTGCACACTGGGCCAACATTTTCATTAAGCTGACCACTGTCACCAGCAGCACCTATATCCCTTTCTTAATCACTCACTGCTAGCTCCAATCTCATCAGCTCCTACTTTTTGCCCTGATAGGCATTACTTTACCCTTGCTTACATTGAACTGCATTTGCCGCTTTCGTGTGCATTCTCTCAGCTAGGAGAGATCCCTTTGGAGCTTCTCACTATCCCTTTCGGTTTTAACCACCCTAAATAGTTTGGCGTTGCCCAGAAACTTTTCCACATCACTACTTATTCCTACTTCCAGATGATTTTTGAATAGGTTGAAATGTATTTGATTATTTTTGAATAGATTGAAAAGTATACAAAACCCTGCAGGACTCCACTGGCTACATCCCTCCATTAGGAGATAATTGCTATTCCTACACTGAGGATCATCCTCGTGTTTGCTGAAGCTCTTAAAGAACTCAAATAGGTTAGTGAAACAGGACTTCACCTTGCGGAAACCATTTTGATTCTTTTTCAGCAGGCCTTTTCCTTCTATGTGCTTACTGATTCCATCTTTAATAACGCTTTCAAGCCATTTACCCAGAACAGATGTTAAGCTAACTAGCCTGTCATTCCCTGGATCCCCTCTGGATCCCTTTAAAAAAACTGGTGTTACACTGGCTTTTCTCAAATCCTCTGTACAAAGGCTGATGTTGGGAATATATTAAATATTTTGTTAGGAAGGTTAGCAATTTCATATTTGAGTTCTTTAAGGACTCTAGGATTGATCTGAGCCTGGTGATTTATGGACTTTCAGTTTATCAATACAGTTGAGAATTCCATCTTTTGTCACTACCACCTGCATTAATTCCCCTGACTTCCCTCCAGAATATCTAAGTTCAGGTACAGCTATCTGTTCTGCATCTTCTGCTATGAAGTCTGATGAAAAAAAAAATCATTTAGCTTCTCTGCAATCGCTTTATTTTTCTTTAGTGCTCCTTTAATTCCATTATCTTCCAGTGGCCCAACTGCTCCTGTAGGTGGTTTATCTTTTTCTGATATATTTAAAGAATTCTCACTTCTTGGCCTTGATGTTATTAGTAATATGCTGCTCGAAATATTTATTTGTTTCTGTTATTGTAGGTTTGCACCTCCCTTGTACAAGCATTTCCCTGGTACAAGCAAAGTAGTGGCAAAAGCCAGTAGAATCATTTTGAGCTTATGTTTTTTTTCATTTGGACAAAACTTTCATTTCTTAAAGGAAGCTTTCTTCTCAATAGCTCCCTGGACTCTATGTTGGTTAACAATTGTAAGAAAACATGTTTAACATTTTAATGACACAGAAATCTGTGGTTTGAATTAATTTTGTAACACTTTTGTGCCACTACCAGTAGAAATGCTAGTTGAAATCTCCATTACATCAGAAGGGACCAGTTTACAGAAAAATGCAGCCCACAGTCCTCTCTATATGGTTGTGCTTGCAGCCTTTGCAACCATGAACCTAAGATAATTGAAGCAGAAGCACCAGAGGTAGATTTGATTTTGCACACTTTCCCAGTTTTGTACAGTTCTCCTGAAGAGTGAGGAGAAAGATGTGCAAGTTAGGTCTACATTTATGCAGTTCTCTCATTTATACAGTTCTCACTTTATCTGAAGTGCAGGCTGGTGAAAAGGGCACGCACCCATACTCTAACTCTTAGAAAGTTGTCATCCATGTAGGCAGTGCAACCAAACCAAGAAGGAATACAGATCTGTAATGGGAAGTTTTACAAAAATGTTTTTCTGAAATTATTTTTATGATTACACGGTTGCTTCAGTTAAGGCAGCAATGTGAATTTGTCAGTTTTGATTATTATAGGAATGTGCTTAGATATTAAGGTGCAGTGTTTTTTAACAGGAATGCAGTTGTGGGTGAATGCCAAGGAATAATTTCCATAGTTTTCTATTATTTGTATTCATGAACTTAAATAATTTACTGATTGGAAAATTCACAAATCCTGATCATCGTTTAGCATGAAAAACATTATAGTTACAGAGCAATGCGTGTTACAAAACAATTGTAGATAAGAGGGTTTTTTTAATCTTACAACTAACTTGTATTTTGTCATTAAAATGTAGCCTAATAAGTGAACAAACAAGTTTTCAAAACACTAATTTAAATTTAGCTAGTACCTTAAGCCATATAGAAAGGTTAAATATAAATTGAAATAATAAACAATATCTTAATCCAGCATTTAAGGTTTGATCACTTTTATTTTGTTAAATAAAAAAGATTTGGGTAAAAAAGACATTTTTAATGGAATTAAGGATATTTATTATTATTGTACCCTTCATATGAAAAATTTACAGGCTAAAATATGTTAGGGTAAAAACTTGGTTTCCATTCTAAAGTACTGCTCATTCTTAATATCTGGATTACTGTGGTTTTCAGTGTGCAATTTAGGGGTAGTGTCTAAAGCTGGCAGTCCACCAGGTGCAAAATTATTTCACTAATACGTGCTTGTGTTACGGGAAGGGAGTTACATAACTGCTAGAATAACTAAGGAAACCAGCTGAAATGTCCATTTTCAGAACAGGATAGGTCAGTAGAGCTCCCTAGTCACTTGTCCCTAGTAGTTTTGGCTAGTCTCTGGTAGTGCTAGCTAGCATATTGCCCCCAATACTTTATGTCAGTACTGAACTAAATGGTGCCATCAAGATGATCACTTGCCCAAATTTTCTGCTTTGTCCAAGTGCATTTTGTAGGTGATATGAATGCATGTCATATCAAATATATTTGATATACAGCCTAAGCTGTCCACTGGTCAGCTTAGGCTGCAATCCTATACCAATTTACCCAGTATTTGTTTTATTTATTTATTTATTAAAACATTTCTATTAAACATTTCTAAACATTCCCAGTAGTGAGCTGCAACAAATTCAATAGGACTGTTCTGAGTAAGTGAGGATATGGTCGTGATGCTGGTTACATTAGGTACTAGTTACATTAAATTACATTAAATCAAAGTGTCTAGCAACCTAAAAAAATCTCATAAGAAGACGTATCCATGAATGAATCCAGAACTAACATATGTCTATTAGATTGCCAATATGTGCAGATCATTTCAGTTTCACAGTGCATTCTTTAGGAATACCTGAAAGGAAACCTACACCCTTTTCCCACACTTGAAGTATGTGAATATTGAAATGAAAAATACTGAACTATTATATATCATGTGATGGTATATATATGTTTTTTCTTAATTATTGTCAAGCCAAAATTAATTGAGAAAAGCAACTACATTACCCATTACCATTTAGACTTCCAGTACTCTGGCTTTGAACTTGTATGAAAGAGTGAATTTTGCAGTTTGTTAGCAAAAAAAGTACAATTACATTTTCAAAGAAATACCATATTGCCACTCGATGTTCCAACACCATGGCACAGTTGTACACTTTCAGAAACTGCATAGGGTAGGACTCCGTGGGGCAGAGAAAACTCTAAAGTCGTAATTCCAAGGAAGTGCTCCAGGGCCTCTCAGAATGATGATTCAGCCGATTAGTTCTGTTGTTGTTCTCTTCTGTGCTGGACATGTTGCAACATGCTTGTTGTGTAATACTGGCTCACTTCTTGTTTAACCTTTTTTTAAATATAAAAAGTGTTAACTTGGTTTCTAGCTGTTGTTTCTGTGTTCTTCCCTGTAATGTCTCCACCATCCATGTTCTTTCGTAGCCTTCAAGATGTTCAGCAAGGGCAGCAGTCCACAACCCAAGTCAAAGGCCAGTCCTGCCCCCATTCCCAGGCAGCAGTGCTCAGCGCTAGTGCCTCCTTGCTGGTGAGAAATGGGAGTGTCCAGTTAGAAGCATCACATGACAATGCATCTGCTGTCGGCAGCAGCAGTTTGCACGATGAACTTGGTATGCAGGCCTTCTGTAACCTTGGTGAAATCTACGTGTTTATGATGAAGATTTGTGGCATATGAAGTGCTTAGTTGTAACTTGCTTGGTTTTGGTGTCATTTCACAATGCTGTGGGTTCGTTTCTTATTGCAAATTGCTTCTAGTCCTTTTCTTTCTTTTTTGCCATATTTAATAGGTTATTCTTTTATGTTAGGACTGAATCACTGTGTGAAGCTATTGAATTAGTTCTTCAGTCCTTTATTTTGTCACATCAAAGTACTTCAAGATACCATGCCTCAACATTATGCAGAGTTCTTAAAACTCTAATCAGGGATGGAGCTGTATCTGTTGGTAAACACTCATACTAGTTTAAGAATGTATAAATTAGACTGCAGCACTAATGAAGTTTTGCATTAAACATTGCAGTTGTAAATTGTTACCTAGTGGTTCCCATTATAGCATACACACTTTTAACTGCTTTGCTAAATTGATTGAAATGTCCAAATAGAAAATATGACTGGATTTAAGGTACTGTAAAGATGGAAAAACCGCTGTGTTCTATGTGTCAGGTGACCCTGATACACACACACACACACACACACACACACACAATAATTGAAGCAGTGATATATTGAGGATGTGGTATTCATAATTCAACAATTTTGAATTAAGAGTGACTAATTGCAATTTGTTATAGGAATAATGTGCAAATACTTTTTAATGTTGGGCTGTTCTACATTTGTACCACAGCAGAAAATGTCTCATCCAATGACAGCTGAATTATCTTACTTCTTATGCAGAATATTTTAAGCTGTAGAGAAACAACTAATTCTTTGCAGTGTGTGCGTGGGCGGGAGGGTTGCACAGGTCTACCATATCATATAAAAACATCTTTGGATTTAATTTTAAGTGTTTAATTGAACTCTTATACCATAGAGAGATCATAAAAATACTGTTTTTTTCCTAAGCTGGTTTAGAAATCATTGATATCAAGGTACTCAAAGTTATCAAGGTCACCTTTCACCCCATACATACACGTATTCATATAAAGCTAGTAAAGGTTTGTCTAAAATATTTTTTTCTCATTTGAGAAATTTTAGAGCTCTGCAGATCCTCTAGATACTCAAGCTGTCTCATTTTCTGGGTGATTTTGTTATGACAAAATGGAATTTGGTGTTGCTATAACATGGTGTTGCTATAACTGAGAATAAAACAAGAATATTTTTTAATAAACTGCCTTTAGGGTTTAGTGCATTAGCAGGGGTTCCTTACTATTAAAATGGCAAATTGCTCACTTCAAGAATCTTTACAGAAGAAAAAGTATCTTAAAATATACTATTCTGCTACAACCTCAGTTTTATTCATATTTTCCCAGGAGTGCCACAGCAAATTTGGTAGAAATTAGTTGTCAAGCAGACAGAGCTTAGGTCTGCACTGTTTAAAGGAAGATGTTAGACCTGTGATAAATAATTGGGTTTATGTTAGGAATATGCACCAACTTTATGGTTCAATTTAAACCCCACTTTGATGATTCAGAAAATAGACTAATTTAACTGGAACAACTTTGAAGGGCCAGCATCAACTCAAGAACAAATCAGAATATTAGCTTCAGAAACCTAAAGCTTCACATGCAGGTTTGGGGGAAGTTTGTGTGAAGATGGCATACGTTAGAGATATGCTGCTGGGGATGAAATCTCCAAAATTTCAGAAAGATCACTTTGGGAGGTTTTGTACCCTGCACCTCTAAAATCATTTTTGGGAACTTAGAAAGTGGGCTTACTCCCCTCCCTTGTGTGTTTGTGGGCAAGTTGTATGCATGCATCATAGCATGCAAAATTGAGGTGGCACTAAGGAAAAATCCTGCAAAGTTCTGGGAGAAATGTACAAAACTGTTAGTGAGTTCTGAAAAATGAAAAACAGTTTCAAAAGCTTAAGGTTTGTTTTCTGTACAGTCAGCACCACCAAAATCACAGAAATGTTAAATTCTTCATCCTGCACACCTTGAGAAAATATATGATATGGTATACTGTAAAGCTTGTGTACATTGAATAGTAAAAAGGTAGCTTTTAAAATTTGAGGCGCTTTAAAAAAGAATCCCTCTTCCTTCCCTTTTGTGCACAACTTGCTGCATTCTATGTTGTGTGACACTAGTGTGTGTGTTTGTGTTTGCATATACATGTACACCCTTGCTTGCAAATTCCTCAGAGCACCCTCTCCTTCTATATTATTTCAGGCAGATAGGATGCCTTTGCTGTTGCAGAGTAAGAAGCAGCAGAGGTGGCAAAAACAGTTCTCTTCCCTCAACTTTGCTATGCTTTGTAATTACTTAAAGCCTCCTTTTGGTCCTTTATTGCTGGTAGAGGCCACTTTTATAGGGAAGGTGCTGCTTGTGTGAGTGGCCACAAAGCCCAAGCTCTTGAAGCTTGATTCAGGTTGCAGGGACCTTGTGGAGCTCCATAGACCTTCTTGGAGAGCTGGTACCAGCAGCAGCCACCTTCTGAATGGGCAGTGTCATCATTCAGTTAGGGCCAGGTGTCAAGCAATTCGTGGTAGCCCTGAGCACCTCTATTGCCTCAGACACACCATCACAAAAGGCAATGAAAACACAGGAGGTGTACCCAATAAGTTGTTATTTTATTCTACATTCAAGACAGAGGGCCTATCTTCAGGTTTAGTCCATCTTTTGTGCTTAATTTTCATTGATTTTTTATTGTGATCACTGAGTAAATATGCTTTATTTACATGCATATGTGACAGTCATTTTTCTAGATCAATGTTTCCTAAGCAGTGCTCCATAGAACCCTTATGCTCTGTGCAATGCAAATAGAAGTTCCATTGGAAAATGTTGGTGCTAGTGATACTTTGTCCCTCAAAATGGTTAGATATGAAGTTATGTCTGTATTAAAATGCATAATTGAATAGTATCATGATTATAAAGGCTGCTATTGTGATGTGACTGTCACAAACCCTCATTGGCTTGTGCACGCTCCCCATCTCTCCTAAGCAGTTATGGACAACATTGAGAACGCACTGCATTACATGGCTTTTGTATGAGGCCAGAGCCAAGAGCCACATCATAGAGCAGAGTCTGTAGTCAAGTCTTAGTCTCTTTTGCAGGTAGCCATAGGTAGCCAAGTGCACGCGCGCGCGCTCGCTCTCTCGCTCTCTCTCTCTCTCTGTGAGATCTTTGTTTGTTTAGTTTGTCTGTATGTGGGAGTGGGGAGCGGTCTGCAAGCCTGACAGCAGACCCTCAGCAGGCAGCTCTACCAAGAGGGTAGGAAAGGCTTAAAAGAAAAAAAAAAATCACAACTTAGGTGTAGCTCCTGGTTCTGCAAATTAAATTAGGAAATTTTCTTTATGCTTATTTCCTTTGTAAAATACAAACATCTCCAAAATAGCTTAAAGAAACTCAAATTTAAAACAATCAGATGCATTTTGAGCAATACATAAGCTAGTGTTTGGCATAAAAATAAGCTTAATTTCAGCTATTTTGGTCCAAATTCCCATTTTATTGTGTGGATAGTTCATGTCCCTTCCAGAGGAGCATTTATGGGTTCCAACACATTTCAAGCCTAAAAGTGTTCCATGTCCAATTTAGTTTGGGAAATGCTGTTCTAATGCCACTGCCAAAAATTGGTGTGAGCTCTTAAAACACTGCATTAGTATCAAGAGATTCCATATGAAGGGGTTTTTTTTCCAGCTGAATTAACCAGAATCATGCTGATTATGACTAGCCCAGAAGGCAGACTGTGGGTCAAGAATCTGTTCAGGTAGTGCAGCCCAATAGAGTGGTTCAGTGCTCGCCTTCCCTGCTTATTTCTTTCCCTCCCTTACTCCTCTTTTGTGTTTTTTCCTGCTGCATTTATTCAGGCACTGGGGAAATAGAGGAAGTTTGAAAATTTGGGTCAGTTTAGAACTCGCTTTGTATGCTTTGGTCTTAAAACACTCTGTAACAAGGAACAGCTGGAAACTTCTTAGGAAGCTTTCTGATGTAGTCAGGTGCCACCTACTGTCTTGATGAAAAACTGCAGATTTCAGTTGTATTTCAATAGAATTTTCCTTCTCATATTGCAGCTATGAACATCCCTGCTGTTGCTAACCCCCAGCCAAAGCAGCATATAGTCTCCTTCACTGTCTGGTGGGCACACCATAAAAACCACAGTTCTATATCAGTTGTACAGAGGATGCTTTGAAGCAGCTACTTTCCTATTTATATGGAAACAAAGGCAGTGTTCTTGTGTTATTTGGGGGCAAATGTCACAGCGACATCCACTTTTGCACCCAGTGCATTCTGCCTGAGGAATTATACCTGTAAAATTGATAAATTGTAATTTTTAATTGGAACGCCCTACAATTGCGAGAGATGGTCCCTCCACTGCATGGAGTTCAATAACAACAGGAACTAGGTCCTGAGGCTGTTAACTCTTCCATCTCTTACTCTTCTCAGCCCACCTCAACATTAGCTACCTGTTCTACGTCACCATATTTTCAAAGTCTTTTGTTTTACCGGGAAGAGAGAGAGGTCAGTTCTACTGTGTGTTAATATACTATTGCATATGCTTAAAGGAATTTTTGAATTATGACCATGCAAGCACTTAGGGGTGTTAACCACAAGGCCAGAAGTTTCAGATAACGGTGTCACCTTATAGCAGGGGTGGCCAGACTTGCTCAGTGAAAGAGCCACATATGGTAAATGTAAGTAAGCCGCCCCGAGGCCTTGGCAAGGGGCGGCATAGAAATGTTTTAATAAATAAATAAATGTCAGATGTTTGAGAGCTGCAAGACATGAACAAATATGTATTTATTTATTATTTATTATGACCAAACAGGCATCACTACAAGTGACATATTACAGAAAAGACACACAACAAACCCTTCCCCAAGTCAAGAAATAGCAAGACACCCAATCAGCTTGTCAAATCAGAAGAGGCTATAGGTTACAGTTGTGTTGCTCTTTTTTAAAAAGTAGTTCAGGACAGTGCACATGAACAGTGAACTGGCATTTTAGCTTCACAATAACCCTCTGAGGTAGGTTAATACCACCCATGGTAAATGCTCTATAGCAGTGATGGCGAACCTTTTTGAGACTGAGTGCCCAAACTGCAACCCAAAACCCACTTATTTATTGCAAAGTGCCAACACTGCAACAGAACCTGAATATTGAGGTTTTAGTTTAGAAAAAACAACTCACAACCAGTCCAAGCAAATCTATCTATCTATCTATCTATCTATCTATCTATCTATCTATCTCCTTGGCAGCAGACTGACCGGCCATGCAGAAGCTTGGATGAGTCACAGCTAATGAGTCATGGCTTGTGACATCATCTCCTGGCGCCGCTACTCCTTTCTGAGCATGCACATGGCCCCTATGTGCACAGCTGCTGGGGCAACTTGGCTCACGTGCCGTCAGAGAGGGCTCTGCATGCCTGCTGCAGCATGCATGCCATAGGTTTGCCACCACTGCTCTATGTCATACTAGTGCATTCTGGTTGATGCTATGGGAAAAGGTAAAATAAACCTGTCATCATTTACTCCTTTTATATCATGCACCTATATCTTTAGTCTGAACAATTTTATTTGGGATGGAGAGCCTGAGAAGGCAACGCATTCCCCATTTAATCTTCTCTCCTTTTAAAATTAGGTTTGTAGAAGAAGCACTGGAAGAACCTGCTTTACACTGATTCAGGCCATGGTTCTGTTTAGCCTGATACTGACTGGGAGCAGCTCTGCTAGTTTGTAGGCAGAGATATGGCTGGAGATGTCAGGAATTGAACCTTGGACCTTCTGCGTGCAAAGCAGGTGCTCAACTATTGAGCTAAAGCCTGAGTGGTTGTTGTAATTTTATTGAGGGGACTTTCTGCTTGAGGGTCCTTATATAAGCAGATACTTCAGAAAAACTCCCTTCTTTCCTTTGATTTCAGGCATGAATCAGGGTTCAGTTTATTTGCTGAGCATTTAGAAAGAATGGTTGTGTGCTGTATTAAGAGTGCTGACAAGGGTTATATAACTGCACCCAATAAATAACTCTACATTCAAGGTATGCTAAAAACCACATTCAGATTTGTTTGTCAGATGCCACATTGGAATTCAGTCTGTATCCCATCCACAGTAGTTCAGAATCTGTCTGTTTATGGGATTTTGCTGATTTTGTAAATCAATAAAAAAATGCTGGCTGCTCTGTACATGTGCTATAGGGTGTCCCATTCTTAGATTTCGTGTTTGCTTTCTTTTCCTGGACTGTTTTGTTGATCATAATAGAATATTTAAATATTTAATTTTTATGATCTAGTGAACATGTTCACTGAATGCTGTGTTTGTGACTTTGTCACTTTGTCCATGGGACAATTCATGACCGCCTTTAATAGGACAAGAGTATAGGGAGGAAAATACACGATAGCGTGTGAGCATTGTCTGCTTGTCTGATGTCCCATCTGTCCACAAGCTGTAGTTTTATAGCTTGTGTGCCCATGGTAAAATAGGTTTGTATGTAGTCTACATTCATATTGATGTGCATCATTTTTAATAGATAGCTGTAAATATATCTTTTACTTATTGTGTGGAGTGGCTTTGTGTAATGACTTCTGGTAGATACTCCAGCATTCCATTCATCCTGGGCTCAAAAGAAACCCAGTATCTCTGTAAATAAGCCCACAAGTGTTACTGGCTTACTGAGCCACACATATGTTGTCAGTTGTGGAATAGCTTGGTTCTAGCAGGCAAACAAATAACTTGCCATTGCCATTTGCAAAATATTTCCTGCCTATGGATCTAAATATGATTTTTTACCATCGGCAACAAAGCAAGTGGGCTGTTTTGATCTTACAACATGCTTTTCTACTGAAATAGGTGTGTACTGAAGCAGAGTAGTTGGAAAGCTGGTATAAAGTTAACTACTACAGTTTTTATGTTAATCTAAGTTTATTCAGTATTGTTATAGATTAAAACTGGGTGATAGGGGTTGTTTGATTTGGTTTCTTTGCCTGTGGTGAGAGAAATTGGCAATACTTGGTTGTTTTGTAAATCCACCATTTTTTAAAACTAAAATGAGTACTTTGACAAGGGGGGGGGTTGCTTTAATTCATATAATTTGAGAGTATCGTATGCTAGCTAAAATCATAATAAGGAGGCCTTATCAGATGTATGTTATAAAACATTTAACATTTGTAATGCTCTTAGGTCAGGGTAGCTCTTTGGAAAACCTCAGATAAAACTGGCTTCGCTGCTTGTCTTTGTCTGGCCTTGCAACATCCAATTTAATTTAGCATTCTATTTTTAACAGTAACCAGCAAGATGTCTCTAGGTAGCTTATAAGCAGGCTCCAATGGAGACAGTCTTCCCTTGTTTGTGTTACTAGTAGTAGGTGATAAGCAATGACAGACCTATCATGCATGAATGTTGTGAAGCCACTTAAGTTAGCTCTGACAATGAATGGCCTATGTTCCTATGTGCTGCTTTCAAAATACTTGCTTCTATCTGTCCAAAGCATACTTCTAATCAGTTTCATCAGACAAATCCTGAATTCTGCCATTATGCATGTGAAAATTCTCTTTTCACTGTTGTCACAATTACTAAAAAGTACAATTTGCCACAGTATGTTCCCTTTGATATTGTTTCCAAAAACAAATAGGCTCAACTAAACTTTTCCTTATGGAAGATCCTGGGTGGGTGTGCAAGATACAGCAGTGTACACTGCAAATTAACTATACAGGATGGGTTCTTCTTGAAATATTTTATGGTATATCTACAGAAACTAGGCTCACTGTGAGTTTGTCCCCCAGTCCTTCCACTGGACCTTTCACTGCTGTCTCAGGGGAATTGATGGCTAAAACCACCATATCTCTTCTCACAACATCCCCATTACAGACCCTTTTTTGCTCACCACAGCTTCTCTGGGGTATGGTAAACTAAAAAGAGTGTTCAAATGAAAACTAGCAGATTTTCTTGATGGCACTGAAACCATCTGTTTAATTCCATGTTGATGGGCTGTGTCAAATATGAAGACCAGGGTCAAGGAAAGGTCAGGAACAAGGTAATGAAAATTGTATGCATCATACCATCTCTTGAGGAACTTTTCACCTGTGTGTGTAAATCTGCATTCTCAGTTGTGTTTAATTTGGTCCTGACCTATACTATGTTCCCCATTAATGGTTTATGATGTTTGTATGTATAACATTTTTCATGTAGATAAAAATTGTGTAAAGGGGATTTATAGTTTGTATCTTCTTGCTGTATGACATATATGTTTGTTACTACAGTGTTCAAAGATGCAGCAATGCTTAATCTATCTTGGCTTTCTCTTTAACAGGTAAGTTCAGTTCTACACTCTATGAGACGGGGGGCTGCGATATGTCGCTTGTGAATTTTGAGCCAGCTGCAAGAAGAACATCTAACATCTGGTGTGTTTTTGAAAACCAGTTGCTGCAATGCTTATTTTAGCTTTGATTAGAAAACAATTCTAAAATATTTTTATGTGTCTATATATTCCAATGAAAGCTGAGAACATTTAAGGAGTTGCTGTTGGGTATACAGGGAAATTTACATTTTTTTTCTTTTATATTTTGTCAAATAAAAATGTTTAATTATGTGCTGATCAATAAAGTTCTGGATTGAATAATTAATTGAGAACTAGGAACCAACCTTACCCTCATACATATATAGTTATATGTATGTAGTCAAGTGATCGGAGAACTCTGCATATATTTTTAGAACCCTAAAACTAGGCCAATTTCATTATTCCCGTACTCTTTAAAAAAAAAAAAAATCTCAGAACAATCATGAAATGTTTTATTGCGTTTTAGGAATGTTCTATTTCCGGCCTTTTTCTTTAGATATGCAGCTTTCTTCTGTTTTGCAATATATTAAATCTGCATGTTACTTCTAATCTCTGTGCCCCAAATAAGCCTCTTTTTGTTTACTGCTACTGTAGATTATTTCTATTTTCCGCTTTTTCTAGTTACCAACTGGCAAAAAATATGTTTGTATGAAAGTTTTTCTCTCCCTCTGTTTAAATGCTTTTAAGGTCTTTTGGTGGAGGGTAAAATTGTATGTTCATTCCTGCACAGCATTTTAATCAGCTAGCAATTACTGGTTTTTATAGCTGTCACTACCACCAGAATCTTAAGCCTCTTCAGGCATCACCCAAAGCCATGGAGAAGAACATAAGGTGTGGGGCCATCCTCTTTGCTTTGCTCCAACCAAAGCAGAGCAGATGTACACACACATTCTCTCTCTCGCTCTCGCTCTCGCTCTCGCTCTCGCTCTCTCTCTCTCGCTCTCTCTCACTCGCTCTTTGAGCAAGAAACAATTTCAGGGAAAGCAAGCTTAAGGCCTCCTTTTCTTCTTAAAGGTAGCATGTTGTGGGTAGTAGAGTACATTGTTCTACCAGGAATGTTACATAGTCATGAATGGGTTCTTTTTTCTTTGGCTGCTGCCTTCTTGTAACATCTTTGTTTAAATTGGGGTACAGAATTTCCTAGAAACTACCAGAAGACTTAAAATGGAAAGGAAGCTTGAATTTGAGAACAGAATAATAACAAACTAAAGTCATCTTCTTTTGTTATAGTGACACGGATTCTCATGTATCAAGTTCTACCTCAGTTCGTTTTTATCCTCATGATTTGGTAAGCTTTTGCACCCCCTCCTACTTATTGCAAGCAATTGTTCAAATAACACTTAATGTTGTTGAGCCAGTATATTTAGCTGTACCAGTTAAATGGGCACAGAACTGTTCAGGAGATAAGCCACTAGACAGTTGACTACTGTCAGTAACTGGAGTACTGCCTTTAAAAAAAAATGTGGGCTTTAAAGTAATATGGGAAGCGCAGTGTTACTGCCATTGCAGAGATGGGGAAGTGGTGTACCTGAGCAAGGCTCCAGGTATGGTATCTGTTCCATCCAAGGCGTTGGTCATGATAATTTTGATCTTTCAAGGATTATTCTTTGGCTTCCTAGAGTTGACCTTGTCAGCTGAAATCCTCTGGAATAATTGATGCAGGCAATAGGGATGCAGTCCTGAAAGCTGGAGATAATGCATGGTTTGCATTTACCCTTATAAAGAATTGATGCAGTGTTTACTGTAGCCAGCCAGATCAGTCCATGGTGGAGCTCTGCAGCACAACAAGGCTTGTAGTCTTAAATAGCCACTATTCAAGCATCTCTGCCATGTCTTATATAACTACCATATCACTCCCACAGTGCTCATAGAACCTTGTAGAAATGGTGGGGACCAAAGAAGTAGTTCTCTGTTACGGACTCTGCCTCTTGACTCTTCAGTGGCAAGTTCTTCTGTGTTGCAGCTCATGGGTAAATAAGTAAAGTATGAAAACATCTTATTATTGACTTTACTGTAGCTTTCCCTCCCCCAGATCAGATTGAACAGGCTGTTGACCATAGATACTGATCTCCTGGAGCATCAAGACATTGACCTAAGCCCTGATCTGCAGGACCATTTGCAACCTCAAGAGGAAGGAGCCCCCAAAGTTAAACACTATTACCGTTTTTGGATCTTACCCAAGATCTGGATTGGCATCAATTTTGATAGGCTGACTCTCTTGGCCTTATTTGACAGGTGAGGGTGTGTGTGTGTGTGTGTGTGAGAGAGAGAGAGAGAGAGAGAGCTGTTCTAACATAGTTGAAGAAATTAAAGCATCTATGTAAGATTTTCATTGATTTTGTTCTTATGATACTAATGACAGTGCAGTATTCAAGCTGATGTTTCAATGGATGATCATTCTGTCTAATGCCAAATTCAGGTAGTGAGTGCTGACAGAGGTGGAGTGGAAATGGGGGCACTAAAACAAGTGGCAGAACCCAAAGGTTTGTAAAAGTGCATTCCAAAGAAAGGAAGGAAGAGTGTCTAATGAGCATGCTCTGTGTAGAGGCTGCATAGTTTGACTTTTTTCTGAGGGTAGCTTGGATAGTTTTTTACCTAATTGTTTTGTTTTCTTCACCATTTGGAATTAGTTCTTCCACAATACCTTTATGAAAACTGCTTCTTGTGGGATATAGTGTTTTGAGTTTTGTGGGAAGGAGTTGGGGCTGGACAGATTTCTCTGTTTTGTGAAAAGGACTTGGTTTGGATGACACTTAGATCTGTTATGATTCTATGAAATATGCTTAGCACCTTGAACTCTTAATAAAACCATAATTGGCTCCATCTAGACCTTGTGTTAAAAATACAAGTAAGGGAAAGCATTTTCGGACTTTGAATATTGATAGTATCATGTAAACCTATTCAGCTTCCCAATTCTACATACTGCTTCTTCTCCATAGGAATCGTGAGATCCTGGAAAATGTGTTAGCTGTCATCTTAGCAATCCAGGTGGCCTTCCTAGGTTCTGTACTCCTAATAGAAGGTTTCTTCAAGGACATCTGGGTCTTCCAGTTTTGCCTGGTGATTGCCAGCTGCCAGTATTCCTTGCTCAAGGTAACTCCCATCTTTGTTGTCAAATGGTTTAAAATTTAATTTAGTATTCAGTGTTTTTTGCCTAACTGATTTTTCATGCTTGGCATTTGCAAAATGTGCATATCTTTGTACTTCATTTTCGTTTCATTTATTACATTTCTAAACCACACAATAACCAAAGCTGCTGTTACATACTGTCCAATGGCAAAAAACCTCTGTTCTATAGCTTAATTCTATATAAAATAATAGTTTGAAAGCTTAGGAACTACTTGAAGTATTGGTCCATTTCAATTATAATGGGGATCCATCAGTTCTCACTGCATAAATAAACTTTCCTTTTCTGGCACACCTTTGGCACTATCTAGACTATTTACATCAATGCACGGGTTTTTAATTTTATTAATGTATGATTTATTTGTATTTAATTATTTTATGGTGATTTTATTGTTTATTTATTATGATATTTTAATTGTATTATTTTATTGTTATTTGTTGATTTTGTATTGCAATGGCTGCCCAGAGAGCATGATGCTAATGGGAAGCTTTTAAACAAATCTAGTAAATAATAAATAAATTTACTCAAGCCATATACTCTTTTCTCCTCTTTCTTGTGCCAGAAGAGGAGACAAAAGGCATCTACTTTCTAATAATAATTAAACAATAATAGTATAAAAATGCCTTATTCTCTTTCCTGCCTTTTCAGAGTGTACAACCAGATTCTTCTTCACCTCGGCATGTAAGTTAAGCCATATGGAATTTCAGTATTTTAGCAGGTCTAAATTTTGTGCTGTTACAGGTTCTCTTTGCCATAATGGATAAGGGGGGGATGGGGAATGGCAGCACCACCTGAAAATAATCTTGACATAATCTGTTGAATGTTAATCATAGCATACAGGAAAACAACAAAAACTATTTGAATAATATAATTGGCTTGAAAATTGTTTCTTAATGCTACCTTGTACCTGATGTAAAAGAAAAACCAGATTTGTAACAGAAGCTGCAAAGAAATCTAATGATTACACAGATTGTAAGTGTCAGAAGTAGAAAGCAATGCTTCCTGATTTTTTACTAACAGGATGGACTAAAATACAGCTGTCCAGGTATAGCTTGTGTAACTGATACAGAATTAAAATAAGACTGTGTGTTGTCATGATGCAGTTTGAGAATAAACCTTTCCCTTGTTTAGAATAGGTATATCCCATATTCTAGTGCATTGTGAGTTTACATGACTTTCACACACTAAACATTTCATTTGAATGAGCATGCACAGCGAAGTTCCAGAACTGACTGTTGAAAAGAATACTTATGGTAACCAAACTTGTATTTCAGGGTCATAACCGAATCATAGCCTATAGTAGGCCCGTTTACTTCTGTATATGCTGCAGCCTCATTTGGCTGTTGGACTATGGCAGCAAGAGCACTTTTACCGCAAGGTTCCGACTGTATGGAATGGCTTTCACTAATCCAGTTTTGCTGCTTTCAGCAAGGGATTTGATTATAGGTGAGTGACATTTCCATATGGCCCTAATCTGGGTGATTGATAGCCATAAGATTGTCTTTCACCAGGACAAAGGCCATTAAAGTTTCTGTTCTGTAATGGAAGCACAGGTAGTACTATCCCTTTTCTGCCTTAAAAAAATTAGAGAGCAAGTCATTCTTGGATATAATTCCCATGAAATCCTGAAAAAGCAGAGCTCAGATAAACATGCAAGGTTCACAGATCCTTCTCAGCAAAAGATCCCTCATACTTTTGGCTTCTCTTGATAGCTCACTTTCTGCAAGACATCAAGAGCAACCAAAGGTGGCAGGGAAATAGATCTGGAGCCTCTTCTGGGCAATGTGGCTTCTGGGCCATGCACAAGCCATCCTGTGAAATTGGTCAGGATTCGCATGACATGGCAACCCATCATTGTGTGTTGTCAGTTGCATGTTTAGGTTGCTTTTAATATTTTATTGTTATTTGTAATCTTTGTTTTTATATTGTATTTATGGTTTCCTTGTAACCTGCCCAGGAAGCCATGTGGCTAATAGGACAGGTTAGCAATCCAATCAATCAATTAGTCAATCATGGGTAGCAACACATGTTGGTTTGTCAGTTCATATGAACTCAGTCACTGTCACCAATCATCACCAATCATTGGTGTTCCCTGCTGCCTCCACTCCATGCCTCTTTCCTAACTTTTTCCCCTCCAAGCTTAGCTCCTTGTAAGTTTCTCTGCTGCTTTCCAAGCTGAGAGGAGAAACATTTGAGAAGTATGGCATCAGAGGAAAAGTTACAAAGATTAGTTGATGATGATTTTGCAAAGGAAGAACTGCAGTATTCCCATTTTGTGCAACCATTTCTTCTGCAAATTAAATAATAGGTATATCCAGCTGAACTTAGCCAGTAGTTATATATATTTTACTTTCTGTTTTTTGCTGTTACTTTTGTCTTCCACAGTGTTTACACTATGCTTCCCTATAGTTTTCTTCATTGGCCTTCTGCCTCAGGTGAACACATTTGTGATGTACCTCTGTGAACAGTTAGATATTCATGTCTTTGGTGGCAATGGTAAGTTAAGCATCTTCATTTCATGAGTGGTAGGCTGCGTTCAGACATGTCTGGAAAAAATACTCTAGGGCTGATTCAGGCTGTCAATTTGAAGTGTGTCACTAATTCATTTTAGTTTCTGTAGAACAATTCTGCAAGTCCTTATTCAAGGAGGGCTGCCTGTTAACAAAGGAGTTTCATATTATATGTGCTAAATTGTCCAGGAAAAACTGTTGTTTAGTTCAGCTATAAATCAAAATATATTTGGGGGCTATGTGAATGTACCTGGAACAAGCCTTGGTTTTATACACTTTTCCCTCCTCTCATGCACTACAATTTCCTCTCTTCCTAGTTTGCAAGGCAAGTGCAAAGCATCATTTGATAGTTAAGATGTAAAGGCATACTGTGGTTTTCCACAAGCGAGGAAGGGGAATAGGTACTCATACTGTACAAGGAGAGGATAGAATGCTCTAGTCCAAAGCTTCTTTTGGGCTTGTTCATAAAATACCAAAATACGGTTTAGCATGATGGCAATCCTATGCCATTAAAGAAGCCACGAGTTCCATGAATTTTACCCCAACCAACAGTTTTGTAAAACTATTAAAGCAGAACCTGAAGGCTTGCTAATTGAGAAAAGCAGGGGAACTGAAGTGGGGAATTCTCCATACACCTGAGTAGTTTCGCACACCAGTTATCAGATCCTTTCCAGAAGAAACTTTTATTTGCACATGTACATTTCAGACAGTGCCCCCCCCGCAATGGTTCTGTTAATTAGGAAAACATCTGTTGTTTTCTTAAACAATATATTTTTGAATACTGGAGAAATACAATACTCCTGAAACAAAAGTATTTCCTAAAAAAGAAACTTTAAATCCTGCAGAGTGAACGAGCACCTGTGTCTTGTGCTGGTGTTATAAATAGTCTGGAAATTCAGTTCAGGATTGGTAGGGAAAATCATATTTTTAATTATCTTTTTCAACGAAAGTGCCATAGTGAAGACTATCGACTATAGAACAGTAAAATAACTCCTGAAGATAGTTTGCATTATGAGAAAGTCTGCTACAAAACTCTAATGTTGTAGGGTAGCTTCCCAACCCTAGGGTAGACCTGAAACAAAAATCAGTGAGACAAATGTTTCATCTTTTCAACCTTAGCGATTCTACTTCCAGGTGTTTTTGGTGACATATCTTCATTATTTTCTTTTTCTTTAGCCACCACAAGCCTGCTTGCAGCACTTTACAGTTTCATCTGTAGTATTGTGGCAGTAGCATTATTGTATGGATTGTGTTATGGTGCCCTAAAGGTGAGTAAAATCTATGGTGCTGTATTTTTGCATGGTGACTTTAGGCTTTGTTAAACTGATCAACACTGCTATCACTTGAACTTCATAATATTTATAGCTGGAAAATTGAATGGAGATAGGTATTTCTTTCCCATAATACTAGAATTTAGCAGTCTTCCAATGAAGTTAATTCACTATAGATTCAGGGCAGGCAAAGGAAAAGTCCGACTTCATGCAAAACACACAATCAATTTCAAGTATTCACTTCCACAGGATGGAATGATGGCCAGCAGTTTGGATAACTTTAACAGAGCATTAGATACAGGATAGTAGTCAGTCAGGCTAATAGTCATACGACTTTATGAGCCCACCTGATTTAGAGGAAGTGGGTCTGTTCACACATCATGGCAACTCACTGTACCTGTGGGAGCTGTTGTATTGTGAGAGGGATCCACAGGTACCATTTTTGCATGCTGCCTGCAGAAACCTGGCTTGTTGTGTTTGTTAATACAAACCCAGGCAGCAGGGATTCTTTAACGCTATTTGAGGATTGTACAACCGTCAAATAACCCTAAAACAAGGCATGGGTTATTTGAGGGTTGCTTAACCCTGAAACAACCCTGCTGCCTGGGTTGGTGGAACATGACAAGTCACAGCAAACCAGGCAGACACCATGCAAAAATGGTGTGCAGTGTGACAACCAACACAGGGAAATAAGCTTGCAGTGGGCTGTCATGTCATGTGAAGTCAGTATGTGACTGAAGAGCAACCGTTGCCTTCATGCCCTCCTTACAGACTTCCTGGCATCTGATTGGCCATTGTGAAAAAAAACTAGATGCACTTTTGGTCTGATCTAGCAAGATCCTTACCACACAGGTTGTTTTGCTTTTTCAAAAACTTGTTCATTTTAGAAAAACATTTTTCCTAGTTATACTTGTATCTCGTGTCCTGATTTCGCTTATGGTCTGGAGTACTATAGTTGTCTCTTCGATTGACCAATGTCTGTGGTACTTAACTACTGAGTAAATCTGGTAGTTGCAAAATGTTTATTGTATTTTCCTCAAGTCATGTTGATAATTAGATTGAGTGACAGTGTATTTCTTCAGCTTTGGTATGCTTTAGATGAGATAGTATAGTTTTCTAGATGCAGTATTAGGCAACTTGGTCCCCACCACATATTTTGGACTACAGCTGCATTCAGCCAGCTTTTCTCATAGTCAGAGGTTATGAGAGTTGTCTGAAACATCTGCAGTGCACCAGGTTGCTGGCCCCTATATTAGGTTATGGCCAGAATCCTCCATCTGATCCTAACATCACTGCCATGAGTTGGCTGTTTTGATCGTTTGTCATGCTGTATCGCATGCTATGATATTTTTGATCTGTATATTTAAGCTGAATGTGTAAGCCAAATTTTAGACTCCATGAACTAAAAAAAGAGTAAAGAGATGTTTAAATTATGTTAAAAATAAACAGACATAGTGCTTATATTAATAATGATACACATTGATGCTCTTTGTTTCACAAATACAAAAATATTATTGGATCACAGATTTTCTAATCTTAAGAATGGTTTTTCTTTCTTAAATTGGATGACTATAATAATCTTGGTTATGCTATCTGTATCTATCCTCAGGATTCTTGGGACGGTCAACATATTCCAGTGCTCTTTTCAGTATTCTGTGGTATGTTAGTGGCAATATCCTATCATCTCAGCAGACAAAGTAGTGATCCTTCTGTGCTTTTGTGAGTGGTAGCCACCTCTTCATATATTATATCAAGTCTTGTTATGATGATTGGACAACACTAGTATAAAATGTTTTTTCAATATTTAACGCTGTGGTCCTCTGTATGCTTGTGAATAAGTTCCACTGAACTCAGTGGAACTTATCTCTCAGCAGGCATACATTGGATTGGACTATGTGGCTCTACTTGGTAGAACTTCCTTCCTGGAAATGCTATTCTCCCATGATAGACAATGGGATTCTGAAGCAATTGGATATATGGGGAGTACAACAGTGTTTTCTGTTCGTTAGACCATGTGATATTGCAAGAACTGCTCTACTGAAGAAGGTGATTCTTTGCCTTGTGACCATGCACCCTGGTGCCAAGCACTGCTCAGCAGTTGCAACTCTGAATAGTTTCAGTCATCTTTTCAGGAAGGCTAAGGGGTACAAATCATATGGTCTGCCCAACCACAGTCAAAATCCATTATTTGTGTAAGGAAGAGTTTCAGAACTCTTTCTGTCCTGAACAGATCATGGAAGATTAAAGATCTAGCCAGAATCCACTAATTATCTAAACATTTTAATAAGTTTTTATTTAATAAATTTATTTCAGACTTTGTAACCATTTGTGACAGTACCCAGTAACTGAATACTTGAATATGCATTAATTTTACTGAGACCAGCAGTGGGTGGATAGGAATGGCCATATATTTAATAGCACTGTACTGTGGTAGTCATACCACTGGCAATATGTAATATTTAATTGCATGATCTTCAGAATTATATCCCGCATCCATACCTGATCAGGAATTTGGGTACTAAGAGAAATGATAACATTTTCTTGACTGCTCAGCTGGACATGATGGGTTATTTGCACCCATCTATGATTATTACTGTGACAAAATGCTCTCTATACTGGTAGTGAGTGTTATGTGGAAGGTTATTCTGGGAAATCCATGGGTACCTGAGATAATTGGTGATGCAATGTGGAGAATCTTCTTGTGAGAGGAGAAGGAGGATACATAATAACTGACAGATGTTTTCTAAAATTGATAATTGTTTTGGATTCCAATCAGTGCACTTCTTTTTACAGAGAAAACAACTTATTTTATATTTTAGCTCTTTAGTGCAATCAAAGATTTTTCCTACTTCCGAAGATAAAAATCCAGAAGATCCACTGTCTGAAGTTAAAGACCCATTACCTGAAAAACTTAAAAATTCAGTGGTAAGTAGCTTCATTTCTCAAATTATTCAAGCTGTTGGCCAATCCAGTTTGTTATTATGAGTGCTAAATATTAGGGAGCTAAATGCTTGATGTACTTTTGAAGCTAAATTTTTTACTGGAAGAAGTGTCCAATACTCAGATGCTTAAGTCGTTCTTTCAGATCAAATTAAGGTTTTCTGAGGTTCATTCATAATAACTGTTAGCATTTCCAAAAAAGGCATTAGCTAATGCACATGGGCGTTACTCAAGATTAGGTATGCTGCAATGGCATACATTTCTGTAATGAAACACTAGTTGTGTTAGCTAGTATACAAATATTCCTAAGAAATTAGTGTGCCAAAGAGCTGCACTACTGTTGCTCTAGAGCAGTTTACACTAGTGAAGTGTAATTTATGATAGCATTTGTGTCCCATTAGATGCTGTCCTATTTCTGTACAACATAGCAGATTGCCATGCATTTGTGAGAATTCTATGAGATGAAAACTGAGAAAAAATAAGAACAAACTGATTTTGAGCATGTTAGAAATATTTAATTGTAACACGTATTCTAAGAATGTCTTGCATGTGTTGCGGGGGGCGGGGGGAATTAAAATGTTAGCCTCCAGGCAATGATTGAGTTCTTAGAGCTAACATAAAAGATGGAAAAATGTAGCCATCTTGATCATCCATGTGTTTTTTATTTCTCTTCTTTTTAGAGCGAACGTTTGCAGTCTGATCTCGTTGTATGTGTAGTCATTGGTGTACTTTACTTTGCAATTCATGTCAGCACAGTATTCACAGTATTGCAGGTAACTTGCTTTTGTGCTTTCTTTTGCACGCCCCTTGGTGTAATAGTCTTTTGGCATGTATTGTACAGAGTCACTATAGTTTATGATTGCTCACTGCATTAGCTAATCGTTTCTGGTTTAGTATGTAGGAAGCTGACTTTATTAAATCCTTCATTCCTTTCCCATTGAATACTGATTCACTAGACAAGACTGGCAGGAAAACCCTACTGTCCTGGCCAACTAGCTCTTGGCCAGCTGTCAATGCCAGCTGCCCGAAGGTGCCCAGGAGGCATCTGTAGGCAGCTGGCACTAGCTTTTCTACCTCTTCACTGTGATTCTGAGCTGTTTCAGGATGGCTATGGCTTTCATTCATTTAAACTCTTTTTTTCCTTCATATTGTGATACTCATTTTGATAGCTGCCAGCAGTTACTTCAAAGTGCCCTAGCATCTGAGTACAGTTGCTAGGCATTTCTTTTAGGGAAAAATCCCCTTATTTTCACAAATATTTGGGAAAATGCCTGTACTTGCACAGGTGTGGATGTTCACTGTTGCATGGATACAGGAATGAGGAGCCAAAGGTGGGCAATATGCATGTGTGTCCTTGCTGGCAAAGACCAGCAGTTACTCACGATAGGCTATGATCCACGGAGGTGGCAATAAGGTTATTTTTCCTTTTGGTTGTATCTGGCACCTGTCAAAAATAATCAAAGGCATACATGATCTTAGCTCACAAAAAGGGGTGGTATAGGAACTTGCAAAACTGTGAACCACCCTAATTTACTGTAGTAGAAAAAATGTGTGGGAAAGTATACAGGGGTGTGAGTTTATGTACAGGCAGGAAAATATACCAAGGTATATAGTATATGGTTATCCTGCCCCCCCCCCCAAAACACCCTTTTTTAATCCTTTTAAAATCCCTCTTGAAAAATCAAGCTTTAACTTTGACCGCATGAAAGGTAACAATCCCAGTATAAGGGGATGGCTCATGCTTTTGCGTATTCCCAGCATAGTAGAATCTCGGCAACAATTGCAATGGTGGGGACATCCTCTGGGTGGGTTAGTATGGTGCACATATGTGCCCACAGTTAAAACATCATGTGGGGTTCTCATGTAACAGCAACCCATGATTCAGTACATCTCAATCTATTTTCTTGGTTGTGTAGATGTTTTATGATTGGTGGACCTGTTTTTAAACTGATTGCTGATAATGCTGTTTTAAATTGATTGTGGCTATTATATACTGTTTTGCTAGGGTTTTATTATATAACTGTTCTGAGGGCTCCATGTTAATGAACAGGATATAAAATCACAAACAAACAAACAGTAACATTTTTTGTCTGGCATTGCAAAGAGAAATGCAAGAAATTTACCTCTTATTTTACTGATGTACTGATTTTTTTCCCATGGCAAAACTATAAAATGGATCCCTAGTCAGGGATACCAGCAGGGAACAGATGTGAGGCTGCCACAGAGGCTTCTGATATGCCCTGGGATACATTCTAGGTGGAGGGGGGTTAGCTGTGGGGAGGACACTATTTCAGCTTCGCTGCCATTCTGCACGTAAACTGGAGGACAGTGATTTGTGACAGGAATGGCTATTTTCTGATTTTTGAGACTGAACCTTTCCCCATACGTTTTCCTTTAGCCTGTCTTGAGCTATGTTCTGTATGCATTGGTGGGCTCCATAGGCTTCATGACCCATTACTTGCTGCCTCAGCTCCGGAAACAGCTCCCTTGGCACTGTTTTTCTCACCCACTGTTGAAAACCAAGGAATATTATCAATTCGAAGTCCGCAGTAAGTAGTACAGCTTTCTTCACACTTGGCCTATGGCAGTTTGCAATTGATTTTGTCTAATTAAATGTTTCCATTACAATCATTAATTATGTTGCATCTACTAGATAGGAGAGCACTGCATTGGCAGTCAAATCACATCTGTTCATTCCATGTAATAGAGGCCTTCTGCCTTGCAGTAAAAGTTACATGTGACATCTGTGTTGGAAGGTTGAGGAGTTCAGACGTGTTGAGCTTGGTTTGCTGGCTGATTCTCTCTCCCAGTTGAGCTATTTGATTACATATTGCACTTGGTGAACTCTTCTTAGATGCTGCCCATGTGATGTGGTTTGAGAAACTTCATATATGGCTTCTTTTTGTGGAGAAGAACATAATTTATCCTTTGATAGTCCTCAATGAACTCAGCAGCAGTGCAAAGGCTATTGCTAGCCCAAAGAGGCTGGATACAGAGTAAGTAGGAAAAAAGCCCGCATGACTCTTTTATTATTTTATGTATTCTGGTTTTTGCCATATTGAAAACATGGTCTCTGTCACTTCGTCAGCAATCTTAACACTCCACTCTCTCCTCTCCCAGTAGTAACAGAACCTCCTGATGAGGGTACTGTAGGGTTCTTCAGCTTCCCCTTGCTCGTTATCATATAAGAAGAATTGTACCTAGTCTGGTATTCGGTTCACTCAGTGGCCAAGCAGCTGGCTATGGAAAGCCTGCAGCAGGTTGTGAGCATGATAGCACCCTCTTCCTCATGTTCCTTAGGAGGCTGTATGGAGCCTTTCCTCAGGCTTTGCTCATTTTCTGTCCCTTTGTTTCTCTCCCTTCTGGAATTTCTTCCCATTACTCAACATGCTCGACAAAAGCTACTCCATGAGTTGTATCAAGAAATACTTTATTATAGTTTAAAATAATACTTTAAAAGATTTCCAGAAACTTGAAGAAACTTACCACATGTCTGTTTTCTTCGTCAGTGATCTCTGAAAATGATTAGGTGTAACTGTGTAAAAGGGTATTTGGTGTTGCATTATGGATGCGACAGAATGACTTGCCTTGTTCAGCTGCTTTCGGTAACTGTCAAGCCAGGGGGTGTGACAATGGTTTGACAGTGGAGTATGACAACCATAGTCAGATGCATTGGAACAGTTTCATTCTTTAACTTAGTTGGATTTGTTTATTATTCGGTATTAGCAAACAGGTTGCGATAGTTTGTTGCGGTGAAACTCACATGCAAAATTGCCCAGTTGTCAAACCAGGGCACTTTGTGTTTGCCTCATCTGAATGAAGGCGTGCTCACTGGCTTCCCTAGGAATGGCCCTTGCAGAACCTTTGAGGCCTCTGAGGGGGCAGGCTGCCCCACAGTAGCAGCAGGGGAAAGAGAAGCCATGTAACTTTGTTTCGCAGCCTGATAATGTCCTCTGGGTTTAAACAGTGCCAATTCTTAGGTGTTACTTAGGGATATTTGTCAACTAGTCACTGAAGATGTAATTGCAGCCTTAAACACAAGGACACAGTAAAATTAATTAAAATTAATTAATGCAGTTGAAAAACTACTTAACCCAAAAGTGTACACCTTTTGGATGCTATTAGTATACATGCCAAGTTTCTGGTATTTGGGGTTTCACTGTCTTTGTATTATTCTCTACTAATACCACTACAGCTAATATTAGTGTTGCTATAATATGGTTATTATGTGTAATAAATAAGATACTATATTACTGGGTGAGTCTATTTCTTAGACCTTTACCATTAATGACCTTTACCATTAGTGTAGGGATTGGGTTCAGTCCTACAAAACTGCCTTCAGAGTTTGTGGAATCAGATTCTGAATCAGAAGAGGAGGAGGAACCGGGATCCTCAGCTGAAAAGCTGAGGCCAGTGTGCGCAGAGATAAGCCAGGCAGTTGTTGAGCTTCGTGGGAAAGCTTAGTGAGCATGCTAATGGGGAGGGGAAAGACTTAACATCATTAATTGGAGGACATGGTGTCATGTTAAGAGGTTAGACTAATTGAATACCTTCAAATCCTCTAAGTAATTAGGCCCTAAGCAAAAGGGCCTAAAAGTGTAGTTTGCTTTTTTAAATTGTGGAAGAAAGGAAGAGAATCAGTTTAGAATCAGCTTTTTATAATTAAGCAGCATTTCCACAACACTCAGTTTTTAAACTTTGTTTCTTTTGTTATTAACTTCTACAGTTCTCCTTTATTACAAGGCCAACCTAGTTTGTCAAATAAAGCCTGTTAATTAGAAGTCCTTTGTCTTGCTCTGCTTGGAAGAAGAGTGAGCGGAAGGGCCATGATAACTAGCACACAACCACCATTTTGAAAGGCAGATTTGCTAGTGTTTTCCATTCTTTTGACAGATTTTGAGCATGCTCATCAGCTACTTTTTTGAATGAGAAATACTTTCAAACACTTGTGTGACAGTTTTGCCTAGTTGACTAAGCAGTGGTTACTAGTTGCAATGGCTGTATGCTACTCCAGGACCAGAGGTAAAGCAAAGTGACAAATATAGTAATCACTTTAACCATTTAAGAGATAGTAATAGAAGATCATCATGTTCAACCACCATGTGTTGATGTTCACAACACCTGACAAATATTTTCTTATTGTAGATTTGGTGCTTTAATGATTACTATAGCTGGTATGAAGCTGCTGCGCTCCTCTTTCAGCAATCCAACGTACCAGTATGTTACTGTCATTTTCACAGTGCTTTTCTTTACATTTGACTACAAACATTTCTCGGAGACTATGCTGCTAGATTTGTTCTTCATGTCCATACTCTTCAGCAAGGTAATGTCAAAGAGAACACAATGGGGTGACAGTCTTTCTAAGTCTTCGCTCGTGCAAATAAATCTTGCAACTGCCATAGTCATATTTCCTTCATTTTTAAAAGGGAACCTACAAGTATTCACACTTTGTTGTGTCTTTGGTGGCAGTCTTATGATCTTAGAGTTGGGTTTACAAACCTAAATATGTTAAGTTAATGCTAGTGCTAAAATATGCAGTATTCTCTCCCACTCTTTCCATTGTCTGGTGACGAAAAAGCTCTTGTTTGCATCTAGTGTTGTATCCTCTCTCCACTTGTTTCAGTTAAATAGCTGATATGCACTCTTGGTACAAATGGCTTTGCTACTTGTATTTCATATCTCGCAAAGCTGAATCAGTTGCTCAGCTGTGACATACAAAATGCATTTTTACAGATCTCTTTAAAAAATCCAAAAAATATGTTTTACTTTTTTGAATTTTACAGGGTTTGTTTGTCCCAAGGTAGCGACAAAGTTTGTTTAAGGGATGTGGTGATGCATCTGACAGTAATAATTTGAAATCAAAATCATATGCGTGTTCACAAAGTACAGGATCAATGACTCAGTTTAATTCTATGTTTCCATTAGTAGTAAAATATGTGCATTTTCTTTTGTTCTCCCTCTAGGTTTGGGAGCTGTTTTACAAGCTGAGATTTGTATACACTTATATTGCTCCTTGGCAAATCACATGGGGATCTGCTTTCCATGCTTTTGCCCAGCCTTTTGCTGTGCCACGTATCCTTTACAAAGTTTGACCATATTAAGTCAAGCTTCATTTGATCAAAGGGGAAATAAATTCTAAAGCCTAAATTCCAGAAGTAAATAAAATTTTTAGTAACCAAATACAAAAATGGAAATTATCTTAGCTGTGGATTAAGTAACCTATGGTGAGCTGTGGTGCAGTATCCGCACCTGGTCATTCATTTGCTCAGTTCAGTTTCTGCTGCAAAGTTCTGTCCCTATGAACACTAATGCTATGTAGCCTGATAATCGTTGATATGCGTCCTGGTTAGTAAGTTCTAGTTCTAAAACTACTGTGGATTTCTTTGAGCCCTGCTGTAGTGTACTTGCTAGGCTCTTCCAGGATAAATCTTTTTCATCTGCCAAGACAGAGACATCAGCATTATAGCAAGTGACTCACTCAAGGTATCCAAAATAGAACTTTTATGAGTTTTCTTAGATGAGTTTCAGCTTGAAGACATTGACAAGGTGCTTGGACAGGTTCATGTCCAACCACATCTGTATTGAAACCTTGCTCCTCTTGGGTTATAAAAACTGGCAGGGAGAGATCAGATGACTCAGCCAGGACGATGATTAACAATTCAGTGCAAAAGGAACTGGTCCAGGCCACCTAAGAGCAACAGCAGTGAGGCCATAGCTGATGAAACCCTCATGGACCTGGAAAACAATAATAATTTTAGGAGACAAATTAATTATTTGGAGGCAAATATTCATTTCCTGAGTAAGGTTCTTGCGCAGATGATTGCCAGCCACCTGCAGGTGCTCTCGGATGAGACCAATTATGTGGATCTATTTTAATTCAGGTTCAGACTGAGTTTTAAAATGGAAATAGATTGGGTCACTGTATATGATGACCTATCTTAAAAGAGAGATGGGGTGGGGGGAATGCAACCCTGTGGATTTTCCTTGATCTCTTTGCAAATTTTGAAGCCATGGTGTCCTCCTGTAACAATTGTTTGAGTTGGGAGTGGGATGATTTCACTGCAGTCATTTTGCACCTACTTGGGATCTCCAGAAGGATGCTTGGGATTTTACTTGGCCCTGTAGATTCTCTCCTATAGCTTCTTCAGGGAGCAGTTTGGTCCGCTGGTATTCAGCACCTGAGTACAGTCAACTGGTGTTTTGGAGTGCATTGTCATCAATATGCTTGATGACACACAGCTCTGTATCCCCTTTTCATTTGCATCCACACAACGTTTAGATGTGTTAGATCTAAACAGTGCCTGCCTGTGACAATGGATTGGATGAAGTCTAATAGGAATTCAGGCCAGACTAGGCTGCGATGCTGTTAGTATGTGCATCTTCTGACCGGATAGAGGGTGTCCAGCCTGTTCTGGAGGGGGTTGTACTCCCACTGAAGGAACAGTTTCATAGTTTGGGGGGCTCTCCTGGAGTCTCCTTTTGTCACTTGAGTTTCAGAGTAACTTTAGTGCCATAGAGTATGTTCTGCCAACTTGACTCGGTGGCCTTGTTGCCACCTAAAGCTTTCCTCCAGGTGCCTCCTCCAAGAAGGCTCAGAAGATGACAGCAAGGGCCTTCTCAGTGGTGCCCCCTCCCTCAATTCTGGAACAAGCATGCTATATAAATGTTATTGTACTATGTATAATACTGTGTTTTAAGGTTTTCAGTGTCTACACTCTTTGCTTTTGCGTGGTAGAGATATAGAAGTGTAAGAAGTAAAGCTATATGAAATGACAGCATTCTAACCTTGCATTAGTAGTATCCTTAACTCTGTTGCTGTACAGATTCAGCAATGCTGTTTGTCCAAGCAGCTGTGTCAGCTTTTTTCTCTACTCCACTAAACCCCTTTTTGGGGAGTGCAATATTCATCACTTCTTATGTTAGACCTGTCAAGTTCTGGGAGAGAGATTACAAGTAGGTGACATTGAAGCTATGAAAAATCTCAATCATTAGTAACAAAAGCTTTTTTAAAAAGTTATAAACATGGTATTTCTTGATGCTGTTGCTTGAGTGGCTGATGCCAAGTTTTTAAAGTAGCTTTTTATTTACATTACCTTGGTGTTCTTTTTGTTAGTAGTTACTAAAAAGCAAATGTAATTTTGTAAAAGCATTTGAGCTGGCAGAGCCTCAGATACTCACAAATAACAATATATTTTACTTTTTAAAAATAAAAAAACTAAAACTTTTTTTTAGTAACTTGGGGGTTTTTTTTGGGGGGGGGTACTTTTTGTAACATGGGTTCCATGCTATGCAGGAGAACTGTGCTGCTGCACAATTAATACTGTCTTCAGTCTGACCAGTAACCTCACTTCAACCTACCTTTAGGTAAAACAGTGGAAAAACTTCAGGGTGGTAAAGTGTACAAAGTAGAAATAACTCACCTTAGTCTAATACACTTGAATGAGCTTCTTGTGCGACCATGTACTGAGCAATAATTTCAAAACCTGTCAAACACTTTTAGAGTTCTATTATGGGTGAAGTTCAGGTTAGTGCTTCAACTGGAGGATGATCAGTCCTTTTTCTAGCCAATACGATAAATTAGGAATCATAGTTCTTGAAGTGCTCTCATGTACCTCAGTTCACCTTTCAGCAATATTCCAACATGGTGCTTGTACTGCTTCCATAAACTGGATTTTCATGCCAATTACAACTTAGTTTTCCGATTTCTGTCAAACTTTTCTTAACTTCCATTCAGGACTTTGGGCACTAAGATTTTTCTGAGGCTAAATGAGAATTTCTAACTGAATTGCATGGTTTCACTGCTGGCATAACTTTTGATTCTAAAGACTGAGAAACATTTAAACTGAGCCTGGAGTCCAAAAAGCCACTTAGGCTCACTGGAGCTGACAACACCTGGGCCTGACCCTAATTGGAAGAGTTGTAGTGACTGCCGGTGTCTGCATGCTAATTGAGATGGCATGCTAATCCTGACAGCAACCACAATACCCAAACTGTGTTTCCATTTGGAGAACAATGCATTGTAGCTATGAGCCTCTCAGTATGCATTGCAGGGGAGAGAGAAGCAGTGGCAACGCAACAGTGGCAGGTTTGACTACTCCGTAAGCAATTCCTCCTTTAGTGTACAGAGTATGGAGGAGTTGAAATAGTCACCAATTGGGAAAATAAAAGAAGGTGGTTTAGTTTGTGCATGGAGTTCTTTTCTCATCTGTAGTGGGGGAAGGCAGGTGCCAGGGGGCTCGTCTGTGGTAGCTAAAATTGTGGGGAAGCAAGTCACTGAAACAGAGAATGGTGCTGTATTCCAAGGCTATTCAGGAGAACAAGCAACACCTCTAATATTTTTTTCATTTTCTTCAGCACAAAACGAGTGGACCACTCAAACACAAGATTGGCTTCCCAGCTTGATAGAAATCCAGGTAATCATTGTCAAAAGCGGACACTTGATTCTGGCTATCTGTTTGGGGTAATGGGACATTATTAAGTCTGCATTCTTTTCAGTGAAACTATGGATTTAAGTTGTACGATATTATTATGGATTTTAGTGGGGGTTGTTATAAACCAATCTCTTGGTGTTAGCATACTTATGTTATTAGTATTTAAATTCTTTTGGATCAGATATGCCATGTTCCTGTAACAGGGAATGCAAAAGAGATCTTAAAAAGTACCTTTCCTTGCAACAATGAGTTTTAACTGTTTTTTTCCCATGCAGGTTCCGATGACAATAACCTGAATTCCATTTTCTATGAACACTTAACCCGGTCCCTGCAGCACAGCCTGTGCGGGGACCTGCTCCTGGGGCGATGGGGTAACTACAGCACTGGAGACTGCTTTATCCTCGCTTCTGACTACCTCAATGCACTAGTACACCTTATAGAAATAGGGAATGGATTGGTCACGTTCCAGCTGAGAGGGCTGGAATTCAGAGGTAACAACAGCCTGGATATTTACTCCAGCTCCCTGAGCCTGTTTTCAGCTTCAGAAATCTTAAGTTGTAATCCAGTTATTTAAATATAGTCCTTTGGTTAGATGCATGTTCGCAAGGTCAGAAGGTACTGTCTCCATTTGAATAAAACTAGCATGTATGAACAAGTTCCCCTCTTCCAAGCACAGTGCAAAAGATATTGGTATTTCTGTACAGCTCTGTAGCTGAAGCATTCTGGGCAATTTACAGAGTGGCAGAGTGTAATCAATTTAAATATTTCCCTGAAATACTTGAACCACAAGCTTATTAAATGCTGTAGTAATTGGGTTTCATTTTGGTAATTTTTGGCATCTTTCTACTGGGCCGCAACCTCCTAGTTAAAAATTGAAGCTGTAAGTGAGAAGTCTCCAATTTAACTCTGCCATGAACTCTGTAGCTGCCACTAGTTGGCCACCCATGTATCTCTGTTCCCCCTCTGCTATTATGTGTGTCTATGGAAATGATAATGGCTAGCTTGCCTTGTAGCGCTGTGGCAGTTACTATTGCTATTTGTAAGAGTTGCTATTTTTCTCTTTAGGAACTTACTGTCAGCAACGAGAAGTAGAAGCTATCACTGAAGGTGTGGAGGAAGATGAAGGGTTTTGTTGCTGTGAGCCTGGTCACATCCCTCACATGCTATCTTTCAATGCTGCCTTTGGCCAGCGCTGGCTGGCCTGGGAGGTTCTAGTCACAAAGTATGTGTTGGAGGGCTACAGCATTACTGACAACAGTGCTGCTTCCATGCTGCAAGTCTTTGACCTGAGGAAGATTCTCACCACTTACTATGTGAAGGTACACTTCCCAACCTAGCACTCTTGTTTTTGGGAGTGGAAGGTGTGATCATCATGAAGATTTATGCGGCATTCTGTAGAAAGTACTGTGAGCAAAGGAAGGCGAACCATCTGTTTCTTCACAGATGTGCAGTAATGTGATTTATTCAAGCTGCTGCTATTGCTGTCACTGTTACTATTAATCTCAAAAGGAGCAGTGGAGCTGCACTTTGGAAAAAACTGGCTAGAAATGGATTTATGAGCATGGAAAGAAGGGTCTTTGAAATGCAATACAATCTACAAAGAGTGTGCATAGTCTGAGCACCAAAGTACAAACCTTCACACACACCCTCAAATATGTATTTTGTAGGGGGGGATACACACAGAAACAGACAGACAGACAGAGACATACTTTATATATCATTATAAAGTTGTGATCACGTATACATGCATTGCCTAAAACCTTTTATCTTTCCAGGGTATCATCTATTATGTAACATCCTCTCCCAAGCTAGAAGAATGGTTATCAAATGAAACAATGCAAGAAGGGCTGCAGCAGTGTGCAGACCAAAATTATGTTGATGTGGACCCTACATTCAATCCTAATATTGATGAAGATTATGACCACTGCCTAGCAGGGATCTCCAGAGAGAGTTTTTGTGTCATTTATCTTAACTGGATAGAATACTGCTGCTCTCGGAGAGAAAAAGTAAGCACTTTTAAATTATTCAGGACTCCTAGGAAAAGCTGATGTCTTACTGGTCCAATAGCATTTAAGAATTTGCACCTCACAAATGGTGCATCTTAAACAGGTTATCACACATGAGGAAGTGATTTCACTTTACAGCAATATAATAATCTATTTAAAGTTTCTTTAAATTTGCCTAGTGGATGCCTCAAGCCAGAGCTTTTCCTAGAAGCAAAAATGACAAAACTTAGCCTGTCATGCTTTGAGCACATCACGAGAAGATAAAATTCCCTGGAGAAGATAGTTTTGCCTCAGAAAGTCAAAAGGCAGAGGAAGAAAAAGAAGAATTTACAAGAGCTGAGTAGGGCTGTCATGGATAGGACATTTTGGGATCTCCCATTCATATGGTCACCATAAGTCTGAAATGACTTATGACAGTGCAATAAAAGCAAATTAGGGACATAAAATAGAAGAACAGACCAAGCACAAAATGGCTTCATGCCTTTATGATGTCTAGGCAAATAGTATTTAACCTGAAATGAAAGTAATATTAGTTCCAGTTGAGGTTTTGTGGGATGGACATTCCAAAGACAGGGTACTGCCCCAAGAAAGGAACTTGAAGTGGAGCCTAATATGGGTTAAGAAGGTAAGAATCCTTCTGGACCATACCTAGAGCCAACTAATCCAGCATTCTGCTTCTCCAAGTGGTCAGATGTCTTTGGGGAGCCTTCAAAAGGACACAAAAGAAGCAGCTCTTCACCTTCCCTCTGGGCAGGTGGTGTTCTTCCCTAGCAGGTTGGTGTTCAGAGCTATGATCCCCCTAAGGGTGTCATTCCCCTTAGATGCCATGGCTAGTAACCATTGATAAATGAATGGAGGTCTAAACTGAACTACATACTGTATTTTTATAGTGTGAACATATTTTTTTTTCCTTCTTGTGGCAGAGCAATTTGACAATTTTATTAGGTGACCCAAGCTAGGAAAGAAACGGAGTAACATACACCCCGCTTCTCCATACCGTGCTTTATTTATCTTCCACTGCTTAGTCATCTTGGTTTCTTAAACTGAGTATCTGCAACCACTTCAGCCTTTCCTTAGGAAAAGGAATTCGCCATCTGGAAAAGTTGGGCTGCCCTATTTCTGTACTTTTTTCTGTTCTACAGGGATATTTTTCAGGTGGTATGCACAACTGTCATGGTTCCAAATGCAACCATTGCATTTCTGATCCTTGTCCCACTTCTAAACATCCTTGGCATGGAATTCACCTTTTTCTTTCCCATTGTAGGCTGATGTACACATTTCATGCATTTTTAGCAAAGGCTGCATATCTGTGCTGGTTTAGACATGGAACAAATGGTTTATGATGTGTTTTCAAGATTTTATACTAAGAGTTGTTCCGTCAACAAATAAGGCTTAGACAGAGTGCCTCAACTGCAACCCAAATTCAGTCTGCTTTGCAATACTGGATGACAGTGAAATTTTCAGGAAGCTATTTCAGCATATCAAATAGAAGACTATGATTTCTGGATGCTGAATAATTGAAGCTGTTGAAGGGGCTTTCAAATGCTAGGAAAAGCAATGAACTTTATTATTATGCCTGCACTTGCACTTGTAAGCAAAAATGACAGCACTGAAGTTATCATACTTCGGGCACATTATGAGAAGGCAAAGGCTTCCTGGAGAAGATGGTAATGCAAGGGAAAGTCAAAGGCAGAAGAAGAGGATGAAGACCAAATATGAGATGAATTTACTCCATAAAAGAAGCCACAGCCCTGATTTTACAGGAGTTGGGCAGAGCTGTAAAGGATTGGACAGTTTGTGGGGCATTCGTTCACAGGGTTGCCATACACTGGGGATTGCTTGACGGAATATAACAAAAATATTAGTATGAACCCAAACCCAGTAGTAGTGGTACAGTCTCGCATCTCCTTACAATGAAAGAGCACCCTTTATTAGAGCATCAACCCAGTTTCCTTTGTTAAAGTGGAAAGGTGTGTTGCTCTAATTGGAGACTATATGCTCTCCTTCTCAAAAGATCAGATCTTTTCTTAAGGAAGTGGGACATCGTTCATGAAATGATGACATTGCTGCAAGATTAATAATATGATATTATTATGATATGATTCCATCGTTCAAGAAATGATGACATTACTGCTGTTAATAATATTTCCTATAGTGGTAACTTATCTGTTTTACCTAACCAATTCACTTTCTTCTCTACTTCAAGTCCCTTAATTCAGATAAGGATTCTTCCCTGGTGACTCTTTGCTATGGACTTTGTGTTCTTGGTCGGAGAGCTCTGGGGACTGCTTCCCACCATATGTCTAGGTAATGTAAAACCATATTCCAGAATTGGTCTGGAGAGAAAGTTCAGATCATTGAAAGCTCATTGTTACATACCTATTTCCATTTCCCCACCCTCAAGATTTTTGTATGAAAACATATCCCAGACTGTTTGTGTGAGGCAAGCTGAACAACTGAGTAATAAGTGCCTGCAAATGAAAGTGATTAAAAGTAAATGATCAATTCTTGAAATATGTTAAAGAAGGATGATGAGCCCGGCCTCCCTTAGTAATTACCCAGAAAGTATATTTAATTAAGATGGCTGGAGAGTCTAGACTGTTTCAAGAGATGTATTTTCAAATGGTCAGCCCCATCCATTTAAAATTAGTGACTTTGTGGCTATACTGGCCTTCTCTCTGAAAAAGAGTAGCAGAACTGTGACAGTGACTATAAAGGACAGGGACCTGACAGGGCACCAAGGGACTTATATTGTACATTCTGACCTCCCAAGAAGAGAATTTGTACACGAGTGTGAAAGATACAGGAAACATCAAAGCATTTTGGTAAAGACTGGCAAGAGGTGGCTTTTTTCAAATGAATGATTGCACTATAGTGAGAATTTCCTATAAGGAACTGCTACTGTTGCCCTCCTCAATCAAGATTAAACACTGTTGGTAGGATGATAATTTGCCCTTGAGCATTTTAGCCTATCACTTCATACTCAGCCAGGGCAGATAAAGAATCAAAGAATGGTTGTAGGGTTTTTTCTGCTCTTCTGAGTCAACCTCATGTATGATGGCAATATTAACTGGCAGTTGTAAGTATAGAATTGGAAGTGTTGCTTTCTGTGCAGCCCTTTTTTGCTAACATAGAAGATTGAATACTTTAATGTTTTGGCTTTCTCTTCCAAACGAAACAGTAATTTGGAATCCTTTCTGTATGGGCTCCATGCCTTGTTTAAAGGAGATTTTCGTATCTCATCAATTCGAGATGAATGGATCTTTGCAGACATGGAATTGCTAAGGAAAGTGGTGGTCCCTGGAATCCGCATGTCATTAAAACTGCATCAGGTATGAGGACTGCTTGCGCTCGTATGCATCAGAGGGGAAAGTAGAGTAGCTTAGTCTAGCTCAGGTTATGTGCACTGCTGTTGTATGGAGACAATTGCAATTACCTAGGAGGCAGCTAGATTGGTGGTTAGGGGAAACAACACGTTTGTACTAACATATGAGGAAACATAGATAGATGGAAAAGGTAGCCTGCCAAAAAGTACAATATGAATTGACTCTGTGCTGCATTTTGCTCTGAATTATCCTCAGCTCATATGTCATTTAGCAGCATTAAAAAAACAAAACAAAAAAATGGAAGCATAGTTTTTAGTTGTTTATTCAGGTGAGCTTATCCAAGGACACAGCCCTTCTAAACTGAGCTTAGCTTTGAAAATGTTTCCTTTAACTAAAGTAGATGGATTTTCACAAGTAACTTCATAACTGAACATTTTTGTGGAATCCATAACTTAGCTCTATCTCTTACATCAAGATGGTAGTCTCTGAAGTGTTGAATATATTATCTCTTTACACATTACCAAACCAATTTGTGTTAATTACCTGGGTATCACCAGGAACAGTCTTAGGGGTCGATGAGATGCTAGTTGCAATTGCTAAATTGCACGGTTTTTAAATGTGCATGATTATAACTGTCCTTTTCACAACGAAGACTCTGTCATACAATGCTGCTTTCACTCCTCTCTGTAGGATCATTTCACTTCTCCAGATGAGTATGATGACCCTGCTATCCTCTATGAAGCGATCACATCCCACGAGCAAAATCTCGTTATTGCTCATGAAGGGGACCCTGCCTGGAGAAGTGCCGTCCTTTCCAATTCTCCCTCCCTGCTTGCCCTTCGCCACGTGATGGATGATGGCACCAATGAATACAAAATCATCATGCTGAACAGGCGCTATCTGATCTTTAGAGTCATTAAAGTAAGTTCTTTCTTGTGGTGTGGCTGACCATCCAGGATGACCCATAGAAAATGTGGGGGTTTGGTGAAACTGGTGTTTGGGGCTTGGTTGGTTTTCTGTTTCTCTTAAAGCTGGTTTCCTGCCAAATGTTACATAATTCCTTCATGTTATATTGCTCGGCTTTGTAGTGCTGCTGGGTGTGTGCTTTCTCTGAAATTAAACAGGGAAGGGTTTGGCTTAAAATTCCTGAAGTAGGAGAAGAAAAAATAAACAGTTCTTCAAAAGCTTAACAGCACAATCCTCTGCATATATTTACTCAGAAGGAAGTTCTACTGAGTCCAATGGCCTTCTTTCCTTAGAAAGTGTTTTTAGAATTACAGTCTAAGAATCATAAAACATTTTGATAGTTTTGACTTGTTTTATCCATTTTGCTGCAGCCTGCAGTTTGTGTGTGTAAAAAGAAAGAAAAAAAGAAAGAAAGGTATAATTTAAGATCAAGTGACTTTGCACGTGCAGTTGATACATCTGGCAGTGAAAACATTCAAGTGTTGTAAAGCCACTAAAACAGAACTTCTGGTATATGTTGCTACTATTTTTTTCCTCTTATGCTTCATGCTGAATTTTCTGGTATGGCAACGTATCCCCTCTGTACCCTTACAGGTAAATAAGGAGTGTGTGCGTGGCCTTTGGGCTGGGCAGCAGCAAGAGCTGGTTTTCTTGCGCAATCGGAATCCAGAAAGAGGGAGCATCCAAAACGCAAAACAAGCTTTGAGGAACATGATAAATTCATCTTGTGATCAGCCTATTGGATACCCAATTTATGTCTCTCCTCTGACAACGTCTTACTCAGATAGCCATGAGCAGCTCAAAGAGATTCTTGGAGGTGCCATCAGTGTGGGAAACATCAAGAACTTTGTGGTATCAACATGGCACAGGTGAGCTTTTGAAGAGATCACCAGAGAGCATCCTTTGAAATCAGTTTGGTACATTTTAACTGTGTAAAGCATAGCTGACATTATGAAAGCATTATAATTACATGCATTCCATTACAGAGCAAAAGCAAATTATGATTCTTACTGTAAAAGAGTAAGTATTAGAGTTATGGCAATCCCATTTCAGTCCTTGTCTATTTGAGTTTATATTTACTGTATTAGCTTCTACCCAGCTTATACCCTGAAGTTTTATCTCAGCTGCTCCACTAACTTAACTGTTAGTTAACTGAACAATAGTGCCTGTTTTCAATGCAGAATAGATTCATGGCAAAATGCTTTGATCACAAATAGATAAGTCTGCCTTGATTGAGGATCCAGAGAGCCTGTGGAACTGCTTAGCTAGAACTACATGAGGAAATGCTTTAAGATCATTATGCACCAACACAAGTAAAACAAAAACAAACTTTGCATCATTGTTGTTATTTCTGCTGTTACAGAAATTGAAAAATAAAAAGTACTGCAGCAATGGTCATTTTGGACCATCTGTGCAATTTCTGTAATATGTACTGCATTTAAAATGCAAGATGGAGTATCATATCCATGTTGGTGTTCTGCCCCACCCTCTGTAATGTCTGTACCAGTCTTGTCATGTTCCTATAGCAGCAAAACAATAGCAGGATGGTATAGCTACCCAGTAGGATAAAGTCATGTGGGTGGTGGTGATGGCAGCAGAAATGATGGCAGAGAGAAGAAAGGAGAAGAGGCAGCTGTTGCCAGAGGAAATCTGATTATGGGAGCAAGGTCAAAGGAATCCTGGGGCAGGCAAAGAGGAAATGCAGGTGGGGGGTGGGGGAGAAAAAAAATACTGAGGGAGACAGGGGAGAAAATAAGGAAAAGTTGGAATAGTGGCAAAAATTACAAGTGTCCTTACAGACTTCCAAACAGTTGCCTAATCCTGCTTTAGTCCAGGTTGTTCAGGATATCCATTGTTTTTTAGGTTGCGGAAAGGCTGTGGCGCTGGCTGCAACAGTGGGGGGAACATAGAAGACTCGGACGCTGGTGGCGGAGCTTCCTGCACAATCAACAGTGCAAATGCCAATGACTCTCAAAGCAGCGTATTGCAAGGTGGTGGTGGAGGAGGAGGAGGAGGAGGAGGAAGCATAACAGCTGGGCAGGGACCTGGAACAGGACTGCATCCTCCTGTCACATCTCACCCTGCTACTCTAGGTAAAGCCAAGCCAGAGAGAGTATGTTTAAATTTAAGTCAGGATGGGAACCTGTAGCTCTCCAGTCATTGTTGGACTCCAGCTTACATCAGACTCAGCCAGCATGATGGAAGTTGTAGTCCAACATCTGGAAGGTCCCAGATTTCCCACCTGCACCTTACTACTTTGGAGGCTAACAGGAGAGGGAAGAAGTTTTTGCATGCCAATTAGCACAGGTAGCAGAGACCCAGAAATTCTTCAGCAAATTCTTAAAGAGACCCATCGTGCAGTAGAGTGCATTTTAACTTATTGTTTTGGATCATATCTAAAATAGCAGCTTGGTAGTGTTTATTTAATCTTGTCCTGCATTTGCGTTTTATTCACCCAGTGAAGGGCGTGGGGTTGCTGCAGGCAGGATGGTTGCTCTGTCAAGGTCATTTTAAATTGCGCTGGCGGCTGCTCTCACTTGCCTTGGTGAGCTCCACCCTTGGTTCCAGCTCTTGTATGTGCAGTGGCTCACCGTGTTGATCAGTCAGTTTTCTCCATGCCATGCCATGCCATAGACCAAATTAAATCTGCATGGGAAAATGTTGCCCAATCCAGGTAGCATCCAACAACCAATGTAAACAGATAGCTGGTAGGTTGGTGATTGCCGCATAGAGCAATGGTAAAGCATCTTTGATGTGGTAACTGTCATGTGCACCAGCCCTGATGGAAGACACGAGAAAGAAATTTATGCATTTAGGATGAATGATGCTGCAGGTAGTCTCAATTTTTTATCCAGTATCTCCTATCCTAGTTGATGAGTGGAAGCTATGAAAGTTACTGCAACTTCTAGGCTGCACTGTCTAGCTTGCAGTTTCACTGTTTAACAAAACCAGTTCTGTTCTACCTAAACTATGTGAGGCTTTTCAGTTTGCCCATCCACTTTTGGCTAAGAGAGAATTGCCTACAAACATTCTAAAATAAACCTGTAGCATCTCAAAAACTAACACTTACCCTTTGCTCTTGCGGCCATGTCTGTTTTGTTCTTAGGCACCAGCCAGAGTGCTCACTCCGTGCAGTCCAGCCTTGTCAGACATTCCCCTGCTCGTGCCTCAGTTGCCAGCCAGTCATCTTATTGCTACAGCAGTCGTCATTCATCCCTCCGCACGTCCGCCACTGGCTTTGTGCCTTGCCGACGCTCTTCCACCAGCCAGCTCTCGCTGCGCAACCTTCCCTCATCCATCCAGTCACGTCTGTCCGTGGTGAACCAAGTGGAGACCCCTAGCCAGACGGGGGTTGTTAATGCGCAGCATGGCCTGCCCTCTTCAAGCAGCTCCAGCCAAAGCATCCCGGCCTGCAAACAGCATGCCCTCGTTGGCTTTCTAGGGACAGATGGAATGAACAATATTGCTGATGCACAGCCGGGCACAAATGTGAGCCCTGTAAACCAGATGCAAGCCAAAAGGGAAGATGTTGTTTACAGAATTCAGGTGAATCAACCAGAGGAATAGATCAGATGTTACCTTTGTACTAGCTTTTGTTGCTAGCCTGTGCTACACTTAATTTTGGAATACCCTGCACTTTTGTAGTGCAGCACCATGGAGCAGAGCTGTGGTTCCTATCATAAATTCTCTGTAGAAGTTAAGATACTTGAAAGGACTTCATAATATGTGCAGGTCCCAAGTAGCTGACCAAGGAAACCATTAAAGCGTGTGGGAAGGGGCCACTGACTTCCTATACTGTTCTAGAGTTACAAGGCTGCTTTGCGGATGTTGTCATTCTTTCTCCATCCCCTAGGCTGCATGGAAAATGGGATGTATGATTTGGTCCTAGCAACTTCTGTTGCAATGAGTAATGTGCAGTAGCACTAAGAAAGAATGGATAACTTGGCATAAAGGTTGGTTTAAATATTAGGTGCAGCAGCCCAAATGGCTGCTATGCCTGGCGTGGAAGAGGATGATGCTAGTGGCTGTGTGGGGTTCTCCATTAGGTACAATTCATTCATTTTTGGGGCTCTATAACAAGACCTGCAGGCACAGGGGAGAAGGTCAGGTGTACTTGTTCTGGGGATTTTTACTCTTGTACCAGTTTTTGTGCTGAAGAGGGTCGCGTGTCTTGGGTTGACAGACATGCAGCCGCTCTGTTTAGGGGGCAGAGTTCTAGTGACAGAGGAGAAAAGTGACATGGTCTCTTCCCTCTGGCTTGGAATGCTGCATTATCATATCCCCTTTCATCTAGCTAAAAAGGGAAAGAGTATAATTTATTTCCCTTTGAATTAAGGATAGGGAACCTCCTTCAGGTATTGTTGGACTACACCTCCCTTCATCTTGCTCTCTGGGGCTGATAGAAGTTGAAGTCCAGCAACACCTGCAGGCCCACAGGTTCCACACCTCTGTTTGATGAATTGACTTCTTCCCCAATGCTTTTAGCTGTTTCTGTTGCAGATAATGGATCCCAGCCAGGTACTGGAAGGGATCAACTTGTCCAAAAGAAAGGAACTGCAGTGGCCAGATGAGGTGATAAGGCTAAAAGCTGGGAGAAACACCTGGAAAGACTGGAGTCCTCAGGAAGGCATGGAAGGCCATGTGAGTTCCACCGTCCAACCTATTTTTGGCATCAGTGCTTTCATTTTTAAGGTCCTGATGAACGTACGCATAGCACAGGGCTACAAGTGCTTGTTTAAAAATATGAAATTTGAGAACTTTTTAGTGCTTTTTAAAGCACAGCTCTGCAATCTGTACGTGATGACAATGTAGGGGGATTTTCATAATTCAGCTTCTGCAAGTCTCACCCATTCACCACTAGTAATATATTTATTTTTATTTTTTTCTTACAATTCTGTATCACCCAGTAGTGGAATAATCATTCTCTGGGCAGTTCACAACAGTTACAGTAAAGTACAACATAATAAAATACAAAAGTTTAAAACTAAAATAAAAACCAAAATAAAACCTAGCAGTAGTACAAAACATTAAAATAGAGTAATGGACTGAAAACAACAGAAGTTGAGAAATTAATATGCCAGGGAAAATAAGATGGCCTTTGGCAGTAAAAATATTTCCCAAGCTCCAAATCTTTAGTTTCCTGACATGCTTTGAAGTTGAATTTAGCAGCTGTAAGCTCTAGGAACCTCTACTAAAAAAACAAAAATCCTGAGATGTGCTAGACAGACAGTACGACATCCAGTATAAGTTCCACACTTGGAAGGTGAGATCACAGAATACTCCTAGCCCTGGGTTTTCATGCTCCTTCTGTGTTCAAGTTGCTTAGCAATCGCAAAGATGCTAATTGGAAAAGCAAGCACTTGTGCACATACGAATATGGAGAATTACACCACTCACAAAAGTGTTACTTCTGCTTCCCTTATCTTGCATTCCAGTTCTTAATTACTTTGTGGAGGTGTTTTTCTCTCCTTGTGAAATACAGCTGCACTGTTCTAAGCAGAAAAAAATACCTGTTGTATGTTCTGTTCCACTCTTGAACCCATCAGTGGTCCTGGAGGATCCTGAGGAGAAACTGGCATGCCTGATGGGTGGGATGTGGAAGGCTAATTCTGAACACCACCACCGTGCAGGGAGAAAATTAGGACAGGATCTTGCAGCCTTGAATAATTGTCTTTTGTTGTAGAAGAGTGCAGTACCTCAGGTAGATGGAACTTACACTTGGCTGTATGACCTATTTTTTCCCTTCTTTTGGCTTGACTTACCACCAGGTGATTCACCGTTGGGTGCCTTGCAGCAGAGATCCTGGGAGTAGATCTCACATAGACAAAACCATCCTGCTTGTCCAGATTGAAGACAAATATGTTGCTGTAATTGAAACTGGAGTCCTGGAACTAGGGGCTGAAGTGTGACCTGCTTTAAATACTTCTTGTCCTTCTCCCAAAAGTTTAGAAATGTGGTGGGGGCCTCAAGAGGATGTACCTAATGCCTCAAGAAATCAGAAGAAACTTGAAAACCAAGAGGGTGGGTGTCTCAACCTCTGGCACCAAGTAAGGGGGCTTTGGGGGAGCATTTTTCAAGTTAGCTACTGAGGAAAACATTGTGCATGAATGGTATACATGACATATCTTTTGTTTTATACTTTATTTTATGCATTGCAATGCTTTAAAAAACCCCAATTTTCCCTTTTTAAGATAGGAAAATCTTATCTTTTAAATTATTTTTCCAAAAATGGCCATGATTTGCCACAGTGATGTGGCTTCTGTTCATTTTTTAAGTTTGGTGTAAAGCAGAACTTTTTGAGTTCAGTGTAAAGCAGAAACGAGGGTTTATTCATGGCAAGAGTGACCAGACTTAAAGATTCTTATTCCTTGTGAGTAAAAACTTTTTGAGAAAACTGCACTAATACTTTTTTTTATGGCAATGCACTAAAAACCCTCTGAGATTGCTCAGACCATTTATTTATATATATATTATATGTATATAAATATATAAAAAGAAGAAAGGCCATTATTTAAATTGCCTTTGGGATTAACCCCCTCCCACTCCATAGTCATACTGGTGGTAGGAACTGTGCCATTGATTCATTTTTTGGCTTAATGCACTAGATTGCATCCCAGTGGATTCATTCTACCCTCTTCACCATATATGACATAGTACCAAGAATTAACCAATAAAACTTCAAAGGTTTCTGCTTTTGGTGAATCCAGTTCACAGTTAAAATGTGCAGCAATGTCACCCTTTTATGGTGGGCCTAACCACACAATTGTGCATTTCCTTCCTTCAGCTGCTTTCTACCTGGAGTCAGCTAAAATATTAGTATCCTTTAGAAGAAGTGTGCTTTTTTGAGGGAAACTGGATAAGGTCCAGTAATTCAAATGAGACTGTGTCTTTCTCTGTGCATTGGGACTTCTCTTGTTATTCAGTCAGATGCAACAACTTGACTTTTTTTAAGAGAAAAGCTGTAGGAGGCACAGCCAGACTGTCGTATTATTTGTACCATTTCGCCTTTTAGCTCCCTTCAGTCATTATTATTTTTTGTGACTTGAATTTTATTTTCAGTGGTTATATATTCTATAATAACTGTACTTTGTATAACTGTGAAACTGATTTATGTTGCATATCTTAGGTTTTACTGTGTTTGGGGTTATTTTAGTGTGTGCTTTCAGGGAAACAAGTTACTCAAATAGCATTGGGGTGAGGAGAGGATGTGGCAGCTTCTGCAGCTCTCTCACCGCATTCATGAAAAGTTGTATGTATAGTGATTGTTTCCTGTGTATGATCTGGAACTCTGTGGGGCTCTCAAGGAAACAGAACACAGTCTGCAATTGTAGCTTTTAGAAGCAGCCATCTTTTATTCACTTTAACTCTCTCGATCTTAAGTTAAAATGATTCATGGGTGATCTTGCAAGGGAGGAATGATTGTGAAATCAAAATCATTACATACCTAAGAGCTGAAGTTTTCACAGTGTCAGAAAATACAATGTAATGTCCTAACACAAATTATCAGATGCCATGAAAAATAGCCTTTGGGCTGTGCAAAGTGTCAGTCAGTTGAAACTGTTCCTAGTGTGCTGGACATAGGATCTTGATAAGGTCACACACTATGCAGAATTTTTCATTTTCTAGTTGTGCAGTTTTCACAGATGCAGGAAACTCATATGTTGCTGCTGTTCTTCCAAAATTAAGGATATGATTTTATACTCATACAATGTGAAATCACATACTTAATTTTGGGAAATCAGCAGCCTACATGCATGAATGTAAGAAAATCTTTGGAAAGGTTTTGTTCTCTGGCCTGAGCTATTACTGCCTGCATACATTAATTATGACAGGTGTCTAATGCCATCCAGTTAGTACCTGAATCTATCAGCAGTTTCATCATTTTGGCGTTACTGAAGCAAACTTCTGTGTGTTTTTGATGGGTCTTGGCTGCCTTCTTGAGTGATAGTTTATTTATTCATTTATCCCTCCCATCTAGAGCTTCCCAAAGATTCTAAGGGGAAGAGCAACCAACCCTTTCAGAAAATAGTGATCTTGCACATAGCACATCAGAAACCTTTGTTTTCAAGTATCATCTTAAAGATGCAATGACTGGAATATAATATTGCCTATGTCACATTTCTCTGAGAACAAGATTTTCATTATCTAGCTGGAAACAAACACCCTACAATTGTGTGACTGAAGTCACAATCCTATGCATGTTTGGACAGAGAAAAGGCCTACAATTCCCAGCACAACATAGCCTTGTGTAGGTCCTTTTCTGTCTAAACATGCATATGATTGTGCCCTTAGAATATCAGGCATAATTGTCTAATTTGAAATTTAGAAATTAACAGATTGAGATGTTAAGGTTTCTGGTATGTTCATATGTAGACGCATTTAAATTTTGCTCAGTTGTTGAACACGTGTTTCCAGTGTGCAAGTTTTTTGATGAACATGGTTTCAGGTACACCTTTATTGGGTATACATCTCATCTAGTTAGCAGTAAATATCTCACAAGAAGATACACAGCTCCAGTTTCACTCTCAGATTGCTTAACTTGTCCATGTCCCATTAATTTGGGAGTTTGCTCTGGGATTTCTGGCTCTTAATGTAGGACCACCTGCTTAGTGCATGTGCAGTTTCTACAGAAAGCCCATCTGCTTTTCTGCTTGCTCACTCCATTAGGTGGGCTTGCAGGCCAAAAATATTAAATTGCTACCCAACTGCATTATGTGGAGCTGTAATACAATTCAGCGCCTCACTGGATTTATTACAACTCTAGTAAGATGTGCAAGCATTTTTGATGCTTAAAGCTTTCCAAAACTCTTTGCCATTAATACTCAATATCTGCATGAAGCCAGTAATCCATTAGATTGATTTATTTCTGCTTAGATATTTTATGATAGTTTTTCTACATTGGTTATTTCTATACTTAACAATCTGACTACCCAGCTTTTGAACACAAAAGCACGCTTAACTTCCCAGTCAATGCCCTGGGAAAATAAATCAGGAACTTTGCTTACCTCATTTTGAAATGCTTTGATTTTCTTGAAGAACACGCAGTCCTACTTGTACCAAATGTTGGAGTAGTGGATGATAGACCTTCCTGTAATCTAAGAATGGAAACTGAAGAACTTTTTAAAGAATGGCATCCCTAGTAAGAGCATCTGACATGTTTGTTACTCTTAATTGATTTTTGGCATTGCCTCCCAGTCTTACTGCTGGAGAGCTAGTGGCTACAAAATTGTGTGCAAATGCTGGGATGGTAAGGCCAAGGACCTAAATTTTTTGCTTTGGGACAAAACTTCAGCAAAGGAGGCAGTAAAATCCCTTCTTCTGAGACCAGATAACCCAGTGATGTTCAAAACCCTTTTAAGAAATAGTAATATCTAATCCAACTGGAGTAGTACAAATGAAAGAACCTTTCACACCATATAGAAACACTTCATATTAGGTATGGGGTTAAGCCACCATGGTATTATATACCTAATTTTATTAAGGAGATTTTTTTGCCTATTATATAGGTTTCTACTTGTCTGGCCTTACTTAGTGTTTGATAACCCAATGCCCTTTGCTCTGTGATGCTAGACAGTGTAACAAATTATAGCAGTATTTAAGATGTGCCTTAGTAAAATGTCTGTGGGTACATAAAACTTTGGTGGGAGTTACTACCCTTGACTAGTTCTCACCCAGATTTTTAAACAGGCTGTTTTTAAGATGGCTGCTCCAAAAGGCTTCAGGTGTAATGCATTATTCATAGGCACACACTTTTTGAAAAGAAAAAAATGCCATTTAGATGTTTCTACTCTGTACACACACAAACTAGTAAAGTTGCTCAGCTTATGACTTCAACACATGGAAATTGCATAGCTTGAGGGTCAAACTTTAGTGTCCTTCTGAACCTTAGCCTGACAATGAACTGCTAATGATTATATAGAGGTAGGAGGGAGGAAAGATAGCAAGTTGGAAAGTGGAATATATACTCTGCATCTACCAGCATATGGAGATTTTGCCAGGGATATAGGGGTATGTGTACTTGGCGCGTCAGTGAGTGTGTGCGCGCGTGTGTGTATGTGCGTCTGCGTGTATGTTGTTGGAAACAGCCTGTAAATAGTGTAGCTGTTTAAATCTGGGGAAAGCTGAGGAGATTTGTTTGCAACTTGTTGCAATGAAAAGAACAGTATTGACAGTGAAGAAACACTGAAAATAAAAAAACAAAATCCTTTTCCTTCTGTTGTCCCTTATTTTCACCCGTAGCTTCTTACATCCAAGCAGCTTTGTAGCTCTCTGGTAGAACTCTTGTTTTGCATGCAAGAGATGCCAATTTCCACCTCCATGTTGGGCTTGAAGAATTCCTCTCTGAAGCTCTGGAGAACTTTTGCCACTTGGTGTTAAAAATACTGTGCTACATGTTCCAATGGGCTGTCTCAGGAAAAGGCAGCTTTCTCTTTTCCTAAAAAAAATGCACATTCTGCATCTTTACTCAGGAAATATACTGTGAGAAGATAGGATGTTGGATTATACAGGCCTTTGATCTGATCCACCTCTGTTTAGAGCCTAAACATAGAACTTCTATAGCAAAGAAGAACGTAGAAGCAGCTATAGCAAATAGGGGAATGCTTTGTGAATGCAAGCTGTTCCCTGAAATGGCTGTGAAAAGGAAAGGATGCCCAAGGGGGGGGGGGCGTAGGGGGAACAGTTAACAATGCAGAAGGAGAAATGACAAATCATAGAAGATTCCACAGCAAGAAGGTCAGAGAGATGGCAATTCTTGGTGAAGAATAAGAGAATGCCCCAAGCAGTGTGTGGGAGTCTGTAAAGCCAGAGACAGAAGGAGGGAGGAAGAGGAGACAGGAGGCTGCTGGATCAGGGAGATTATTGGCATGTTTGTTGAAATCGCCAAAAGCAAAGTGGGGAAATCATCAAATATGATGAAGGTGACCAAGGGCTTGAGATCTGACTTGATTGAGAGGGTAGGGGGCAGGCCTTATAGAAGAGCCATACAGATGCAGAGGAAAGTAGCATCTAACACAACTTCAAAGGTAGAAAAAACATGGACAGGTAAAGATAAATGGGAAGAATTTGGATAGAAGGCCCAGTGACAGGGCCACAATCATTAGGATGAATTGAGTGGGAAAAGGACTCAAAGCAAGGAAGTAGCTTGAGGGATGAAGAAAGAAAAACATCCTTTCAGACTGCTGTCTGAATGAAGGAATGGTATTCCCAGATGGAACACAAGAAGGATGTGAAGAGCGAGGCATCAAACAGGAATGGAATTTGACTCAGGTGACATAATGTTGGAAATGTTGTAGGACTTCAGCTATTCTCCACCTTGCCACACACAAGATCTTTAGGGTCCTCTGGCACTTCTCAAGGTGGAAGGAAGCACACAGTAGCCGCTTGGGAAAAGAAGCCACACTGAAGCAGTATGTTTCCACTTGGACAAGCACAAGCTGCTCCAGCACACTTAAACAATCCTAGAATCAGAATGGTAGAGTTGAAAGGGGCCAAGCAGGCCATCCTGCTCAAAGTTAATCCATCCAAAGTTAATCCATCCCTCTCAGACGGCTTGGAGATAGGTTTTAAAAATCTTAGGGGATTGGTTTCATACCATTTGTAAACCAAACTTTTAACATTCCAGACATTGCAATCCTTCCTTATCCTGTGATTTTTTAGTGTGTGATTCTTTCTCTTGTCGTGCACTTCCAAGCCCCACCCACATTCAATCACCAACCAATCACCTCACTCACTCATCCCCCTCTTTTACCCCCTTGCCCTTCTTAAATTTACCTACATTTCAAAGAACACACTGATAATGCTTTAAATCATTACAAGGGGCCTCTCTTCTCCACTTTCATGGGGGTCCTGCACCCCTAACCTCCAGAAATATGGAGGACTGACTGTAGCATTTAAGTGTCTTATATGTGTTTGATATGATAAATTTGACTTAAAAACATCAGGAAGAAAACTCATTAACTGGGGACTGCCTGTATTTGCCCCCTGAAGTCAGTACCTGGTGGAAGCACATTTGACGGTAATTACAGCTACAGATATGTCTTTGTCAGCTTTGCACATGTGTCCTGCAATGTTTGTCCAATCTTCCTGGCAAAACTGCTCCAGTTTTGTTGAGTCCAATGAAAACCATTCATGAACAGCAACTTTCAAATCTTGCCACAGATTCTCAGTCGGATGGTGGTTCAGGGATAGTCTAACCTAAGACATTTGGCTGGTCTAACCTAAGACATTCAAGTTCTTCCTTGTTTTAAAACCATTTTAGTGTTACTTTGGCTGTATATTGAATTCATCCACAACAATTGCTGCAGCAGCTTTTTTCTAATTTTATTTATCATCCATGGGGGCCAGTAGCAGCACAAAAGTCAACTTGAGTCTATCACATTTTCTTTGTAGTGCCTGGATCCAACATAATTATGCATCTCCCCCATGAATCCTTGTGCACTATGAAAATTTGCCGCCAAACATTGGAGAATCCTCTCAAATGGCATGGAATATAGCTTTGATATTGCAGCTAAGCAGGTGGGACGTGGGGAGAGATCTTCTGACAAACAGAGTGCTTTGCTTCCCAGTCAACATGTGAAGTCCATGAATTTAAAATTCTTCAAATCCTTTCCTAGCTAAATGGAACTAAGTCAGTTGCAAACAGTGTGTAGCAGCTCCCTGAGCATGAAAAGTCTGTGAGAGGGAACACTTTGGAATGCACCGTGACAGCTTCCTCCCGTCTTTTGGACATCAGCTCTCATCAGCCCCAGCCAAACCTGCTGACGGTGAGGAATGCTGGTCATTGTAGCCTAAAGCATCTTGAGGGTACCGGAATGGGGAAGGCAACAGTGGTCTGACTTCCATAAAATGATAGGTGTTCCAAGCTGGGCAGGTTAAGAGACATGGTCAAATTGGTGTGTCATCTTGATGGTGAATTGATTTGAAGTGCCTTTTCTTTTTACAGCTGGGTATATGACAGCACCAAACAACAAGTAGCCCTCCAGATGTTTCGATTTACAACCCCCATCAGCCTTCACTTTTGGCTATGATGAGTAGAGCTGATGGGGGTTGTAGGCCAAAACATCCGAAAGAGCAGCTTTGGTCTACAAGGTAGCCTCTTCCTTGAGTAAGTATAATTATTCCTCACATAGCACCCTGATTTATGTAGATTGGTAGAATGAAAATGAGTCGGGATAAACCATGAGCAATGACAGAAATAGAACTCACACTAGCATGGTTTTATTCTGTCCACCAGCCAGAATATGTCCTCTTATGTTGATGAAGGTACATTCTGCTGACTTTGGAAAAGCGGAAACCCTTGTCAGTTCTTTGCGATATTCTTAGCATAGATTTGTCTGTCCAATCCCAGTGGGAGAGGAAGTGTATTTTTGGCAAAGTAATAGGGTTAAATCCAAATGCTGGGAGAATGAAGATGAAAATATCTGGAAATACTGTAAACAACTACTATTTGCAAAATGATCCAGTGTGTTTCAAGGCTTTTAAGATGGTGGTGGCTTCTCTCTCTCTTTCTCTTTCCCCCCACCCCCTTTGGTGAGAAGCTGTTAACTGCAAAATACAGTAGATCATTTTAAAAATAAAATGGGCTTTCTGCAGCACCTTTGATTTTTTTTTCTTGGAATAGTTCATTTCACATTTCTGGAGCAAATTCAAAACTTCCAGCAGATGGCAGTAAAAATACAGCCTTGGAAACATCACTAATACTGCAGTTCCAGATACATTTTTCTGGGAGTAAGTCCTACTAAATACATGGAACTAACTTCAGAATAAGCCATGCATGGGACTTGGTTGCAGGGCTCTGATTCTTAAAAGTACTGTAAGAGTGCACTTCATTCAAGTACCATTATTTTTTGTTTGTGAGAGGGGAAATACCATCATCATCTTATTCAAAACAAGCCTCTATTTTTAACAAACCAGGCAATGCACCGAGATGCACCTTGATGTCTGCTGGGTTCCATCCCATGTTGTTTTTGCACAGAAGTATTGCATGGACCAGGAAGAGCAACTGTGACATCGTTTAAAGAATAGACCAATTGAGGTCTAATACCTCCCCCTTCCACCCCCCCCCACAAAAAAAGTCATTGCAGTGTCATGTCCCAAAATGATTGGAGGGTCATTTTGCAAGTTGCACACACAACTTGCAGCAGGATAACTTGCCTATCCCTCCAAAATCAGTCACCAGCCCTGTCCTTTGAAATGTAGTGAAATAACAGATGGAAAGGACCTAAGCTGGACTTGGACTTAAGGTCCCATCATCCCCAGTCAACATGCCCAGTGCTGGTTGGAAATGGTGGGAGTTGTAACCCAATGTATCTAAAAGGCACTAGGCTGGGGAAAGACTTGCTTATGCTCTGCAGGAGAGACCTCTCATGCAGCGGTGAACCAGGTGGCAGGTACGAGGAGCATCAAGGAGCTCTAGCAGAATTCCAGGTGGCGCTTATCCTGCCGTTATTTATTTATTTATTAGCATTATAGTCCACCTTTTTTCTTTGAAAGAACTCAAGGCAGTTTACATCGCTCTCGTCCTCCTCCTCTTCCTGCTCTCAATCTTACCCCCCCAACAACAACCCTGTGAGGTAGGTTGGGCTGAGAGGTTGGAGTCAGAGTAGGAGAGGTGTGACTCTGTGCCACCTGTCCTCTCTGTTCCCGTCGAGCATTGTCTGTGCTCACACAGCGCTCTGGAAGGCCCTGCATTTCCAGTCTGAGAAGCTGCTTTGATTCTGAATGTTTTGCATTAACATTTTTCACTAATAACTTGCACACGAAAGAACTCTTTTGCACTCACTGTGCCAGTCCTTTAACTCCTGCGATTCTGTGTCGTTGCCCAACAAAAGCATCCAGATGTTTAAAAGGCCGTTCTGGTATAAATATGAGGCTCTGGACATGGCATGGGTGAGTCATATGTGATAACCCTTCTCTGGAGACTTGGTGTTCCAGGGAGCCCTGCTCAGGAGAGCTGGCTTGAGACGACCACCAGCTTGCTCATAAATCTCCTTGACGCAAGTCTTGCCATTCGCAGCACACCTCCACTGCACCTGCTCCTCGTACCTCATCCTCTTCTCATGCCACCTCCCCCCTGAAAGACATCCTTGAAAAAAGCAATTACCATACTGTGATCCTCAAGCTGCTATCCACATTTTCTGTGGGTTGAGGCAAGTTGCTCTGGCAATGCTGGTAAGCTGAGAGAACAGTTTGCTATGTACAAGCTTGTTC